GTACCGGTGGCATCGACCACGACTGGAATGTTCTGGTTAGAAGGGCTGAAGCTGAAGCAAGATTGGTTCAAATGTCGCGGCTGCGCGGCTCTCCTGCGCCCTGAATGGTTGGAACCCTAATATTACGCTCCATATTGACCACATCTTGTGCTACTGTACAACATCAACCCGACAGGTGCAGTAGCCAGCAACCTCGCGCCTACTTGGCGTTGCCGAGCACATCTTTTTTGCCGCGTCATCTCCCTTCTTCAGCAGACATGTGCTTCACTCGTACCTAATCGACCGTTCCCCTTCCCCGCGGAACATAGATCATGCTTCCGTCAGTCCAGATCCAGATCCCCCGACGAATGACGCGATCTCCTCAAAATTCACCACGAGGTGGCTACCTACTTTGGTTTCGATACCATGGGTGAAGGATACCAGGCCTTCCAAACAGCCTGGATCCCGGTTATTCCACTGTTTCGAACGACAGCCTTCCGGGATCTTGTCTACGGGGTCTTGCTGATTTCATCTTTTATTACCTGGCACTGCCGGATGACCTGCTTTGGGAAGCCCCCTCCCACAGCACGGTACTGCCTGGCTTTGAGCTTCATCGACTAGAGAGCATGCACTCTCATAGTGGAGAAGATTTCTGATTTGCAAATGTCCAACTAGTGTCATGATATCCGCCGGTCCGTAAATCTTTATTACACGGATCAATACAAGAGAGTTCTTTGGTGAACGAAAACAAAAATGAGCACAGCGGTAAATTTGCGGGCTACAGCTGGCGGAAACGCGAAAACACGGACTATCGATGGAATACTTCCAGCCTGCCCTTCTGAAATCCTTGCTGGGAGCGTTGTCCGTCAATTCATCTAATGTATCCGGGGCGCCAGGAAGTATCATACACCCTTGGTATTAATGCAATGACGAACATTCCCACGTTCAGCAAGCTACGGCAAGGATTCCGTAGATGTGCAAGGATACCGCTGCCTTGATCCCTGTGATTGCACCGGCCAATGAGTTGGGAACCCCCGTTGATCATTTGCGAGTCACAGTACTATCCAGATGGCCATCTTTCACCGGTACAATGTACGAGCTATGAGCACTCCCTCTACAGTCCCGAAAGTCGACAAACAGGCCTACATTACGGAGATAAACAAACGAACATGTCAAAAAGTAAGAGAAAAGAAGAAGAAGAAAAGCGTCGACGTACGGAATGCTCTATCGTAGTGGTGGCCGTGGGTTTATAGAGTTCATCGAGCTACCCGCATATATATCCTTGGCAGATGAGCAGGCTGTGTTGAGAGGCACGAGCTCGGTTCCGAGTTCTGAAAGAATGCAATGGACTGCCTCGTCACCTCGCTAAACTACTCTGGAAGACGAAAAGAAATCAGCTAGCATTGTCACAAACGGTGCCAAATGAACAACCGGCATGGATGGACCTCAATGTCCCCTCCTCCCTGATTGATCAAGTTGATCCGGTGTTGCCAAAACTGTTGCTTCTGACAATATGCCACTGAACGAATTCCGTCAACTCCCGTAACCGCGCCATCGTGCCATGTCTACTTGCTAGTCGATTACTATTCTGCTTTTATCAGTTCGCTTCGTTCGTCTTTTCTTAAGTTTTAGGGCAATCTCCAAGTCCCTGTCACGAATGACACCAGATCGCTTTTCATTCTCCAAGAACACTTATCAACTTCTATTCGAAAAGGAGACTCTGGATCTTGTCCCCCGAGAAAGCAGCATAGTTCTTGTTCATCATGACTTCTCCCATATGGTAAACCAAGAAGAAGAAGAAGAAAAAAGAAAAGGCTTCCGAGAGGACTTTGAGACAACCGTAATCTTCCCCAATACAGCTACAACCGAAATTCCCTCAATCCTGGGTGACAACAATCATCTGGATGTCTACCATAGCTGGAGGCCACAGAGTGAGAGCCTTTTGACTCGGGTATGCAAACTTGAACCAGAAGGAATTTACTAACTTGGAGGACGCAGCTATGGTCCGCGTGCAAATTTCGGGATGGTTACGTCAACAGTTTGGCGATAGCAGGATAAACCATGGAAGGTCCCCATTGTTATCCGAAATTACTGCTCAGAACTCATTTTCTCCCTGATCCGGAAGTCGGAAATCAAGCTATGGCTTACCGGACCCCAGACGCGAATTTGACGACTGGGGAGAAAAAAAAATTTACTCTCGCGAACATTCATTTGGCTGAAAAGGTCCCATCAATCGTCTCAGAATTTGCATGTTGTACCGTGGTTGTACAAGGACCTTCAGAGTACATTGTCGTCTGTTCGGAGAGAGACTGGCCCACCCTCGTTCAGACTGCTTCACACCACTTGAAGTCATGTGGCCAGATGCCAGGTGTAGCAAGAGCATTCTATCACGATCACATCTCTTCAGCCAACGAGCCGGACCTTCACGGCCCGCACTGCTAGTGAAGACGTTCGGCTTATAGGCAGCCCTACTTATCTCAAATGGGGATACGGAAAGCAAGGGATGCACCCTGGTATCATTTCATTTTCGTCGTCACGTACGAGAGTTTTCCTCCATTTCAGGGATAGGGGGGGCGCTGAATATTTTTGAAATAAGCGTACGGCGCAGCCAGTTTTCGTCTCTCTCGCACGCGCGTGTCTGTCTGACCAACACACTTGTTGCAGTTGGCGAATAGGGGAGGGAGGCCCTTTCCTACCGGATCTTGCCTACCCGCTCAGGGAAGCCGGTCTACTCGCAAGCCTAATCATGTTCCTTGTGATCCTCCTCCCTTTCGCCCCCCTCCCAATCACATTGACCACGAGAGGGATTGGCAGTGTCATTTGACACTACGCTCGAGCACACTCTGAACCATGATGACCCCTTCAAGGAGGGTGTGTGATCGAAAACATGGCATCTTCTGGGCTCTCGTGGAGGGTGAGCCAAGTTCCTGAAGGGTGCCAACCTTGACGGGCGGCCACACTTTCGGAGCCTTGTTAAACCCACAAATCATGCCCACGATACCCGACGGCCGAATTGGAGCTGGACACTTCCTTCCTTCCTCTCTCTCCATCCCTCTCTCACTATGTGTGCGTGTATATGTGCGTGTATATGTGTATATGTTGCCTTGAAAACTCGTCACAAACTCATCACACAGCATATAGGCAGAAGTCGGCATCATCACCCTTACTAGATCGGCCCATCGCAACGCACTTTCTCCCTCTGCTCGATAAAAAAAAGAAAAAAAATCAAATACTTAGTATCTGACCGCGGAAACACGGAAGCGTGGAAGCGTGGAAGCGTGGAAGCGTGGAAGCGTGGAAGCTTGAATACAAATGCAGGACTGAGGGCGACGTGATTAGGAAAAGAAAAGAAAAGCCCCCTACCATCTGCCCATCTTCTTGAAAACGGTATTGGAGCTTCGAATACAAGACTTCCAAAGGAACATCGTCAGGCTTTTTAACCGCGCGAGAGGCGGCAATCGGCCAGAGCACGTGTAACGTGCCCAGTCTGGCCGGATTCCCGGATATCCAAATCCAGATCTTCTGTTCAGGACCTCCCCCTCTCCTCCGAACTCTCTCAAATCTCAAAATACATCAGTAGGTATGATGGTCCATGGCGTTTGAGGTTTTGTCCTGCCGTACAGCATGGAAGAGTTTTCAGGTAACTTAGTAAATTCTTTTTCCTTCTTTTCCTCATAATAGTTTCAGAGTACCACGCAGAAAAAAAACAACCAGACTCAACCAAAAAGAGGTCCATCTGTACTGTTGTTACATGACTCACCGGAATCTCCAACTCGAGACCCCGATTGACACGGAGTGGTGGATTGGGGAACATAGTACGATGATAGTTACTTGAATATAATTATACAGCTTCCAAAGATACTTCTCTGAAGTTAGTTCCCATATTGGCTTGTCCTTTGCTCGACGGACACAGACCGCGAATACCAAGTTCCCAAACACGGAGATTAGTATTCGTGCCACTTGAAAGAAGAGGAAGAGGAGGGGGGGGGGGGGGGGGGGGGGGGGGACAAGAGGGCCGAGGATGTTTTCCAAGCACAAGATAGCGTGTATAATGATATTTTCTTGTCAAAGTACTCAATAATCTTTAGCGTCCCTCTTTCTCAGCTTCATTGCATGATGTCAACTTCGAAAGAGATGCCATCTTGTCATGACAAGCCGGCTGCCCCCCTTACAGTGTGGAGTCTCGAGTCAAGGACGTATGAGAAGCATCTGTAGACTTCTAGATATTGCAACCTCACTGCTCGCCTCTGATGAGGTCGATTGATCCGAGAAAATCGTATCCTGTTACAATACCTTCATGTGACCCAAAACGATTGAGCTGGCTGAAGGAACAAATATACCAGCCGTGCTGAATTGCCAACACATTGGCGCGATTTAAACTACCAAGGTGCAAGCTATCAAGAACGACCTGGAGGGCTTATTTGTAACATTCATGTAGGACACATTTGATTTGCACCGAATTGGTCTTTTTTATTTATTTCTGACGTAGCAGATATCATGGCGAGTCCGAACTCAGTTCTTCTTCACCATGCAACCTCATACTCTCTAATGACGAAGTTTGTCTCCCATGCCCTGCAGCCTCCTTTTTGCAATTTGGTCGTCTTTTGTATCTTATCAAACCTGCCACATCTTGAAAAATCAATGATACCTGCTGCAGACGGGCAGGGCCAGCCTAAAATACAAGCAGAAAGAAGAACCCTACACGCCTAGTGTACAAATGCAAATTTTTTGGTCTCTCCTTTTCGTTTCTGGGTTCCTAATGGAGGAAAGAAAAACAATAACGCTCAGAAATTTCTCTAATACTGCTGCCTGTCTCTATGCCTGAGAGGGAGAAAAAAACACTGATCGCGTACCCAGCTTCATCCAGACTGGGCCAATGCGAGTATGATTACTGATCGAGTAGTGAGACAGACCAAAAGGAAAGAAGGCGAGCAAACATCATCCCTATAACTCCTAGTGTGCAATAATTATGACTCAGTGCCAGAAGACACAAGAGCTTTTCGTACCAATGAGTGACCAGTCTAGTCATTCTTGGGAGAAGTGGGAGAACTACAACGTGTTAAAAGGTATTTCGCATGAACTCGACTGCACTTTCAACTTACAACTTCGGGCTTGTGCTGCCACCGGGAGCCGGGGTCTTTGGCGACCACTTGGGCGACTGTGATAGCATTAGTACAGGGTCCGGTCAGTCAACTACATCGCTTTCAACTTACCGAAGGGGAGTACCCAGGACTGGTAGGCGATTGGCTATTGTACTGCGGGCTCGTGGGCGAGTAGTTGTGTGCAGGCGAAGTGGGCGAGTAATTTGGAGAGGCCGGACTGTAAGATGGCGACGCAGCCAGATTGGGAGACGTCGGGCTGTAGTTGGGACTCGAAGGTGAGTACGAGGGAGAGCCAGCTGTAGGCGACGTGGGTGAGTAGTGTCGCGGAGATGACGGCGACGTCGGAGAGTAACTTGGCGAACTGGGACTGTAACTCGGGCTGGTCGGGCTCGTACCAGAAAAGCCGGGCGAAGACGGCGAGAACGATGGCGACGACGGGCTGAACTGAGGAGAGCTTGCAAAGCGACTGCCACCCATCATGGGCGAAGTCGGAGAGTAGCCAGCCCCAGGAGACGTCGGTGAATAGCTGAAAGGAGAAGTGGCAGATGCGCCAAACGGACTCGTAGCACCGGGGCTGCGGCCTCCATACGGGCTGGCCCCTCCGAAACCACCATACTCGGAGAGTCCACCAGCGCCACGAGGGCTGTCTGAGCCAGTGATGGGCGAGAACGAACCAGCCATACCCATAGAGGGATCTGTGAAGCCCATAAGACCGGAGTCTGCAATGGGCGACCGCATGTCGTAGGGCGTTGCAGCACCGTCGACTTGCCCTCCCTTGACCATCATACCCGGCATGAGACCCATGCGGGAGTTGTCCGAGATAACAGTGTCGAGCATCTTGGGATCGAGCATGACGTCAAAGTGTCCGGTACCGACAGGTGCCAGCTGACCAAGCAAGACGTTTTCGGAAATTCCGCGACAGTCATCCATCTCACCTGTTGCTGCGGCCTCTAGGAGAATCTCAACAGTCTCTTCGAAGGAACATCTCATCAAAGCACCAGTGTCTGCTCTGTTGATACCGTGACGAGTAACAGCTGCGATGCTGCCACGGTAGGTCATCACATCCACGAGCAAAGCAAGATGACGTTCGTTGACATAGGAACCATCGAATGCAAGCACACGTCGCAATTCGTTGAGCAGAGAGCCACGAGCGGCTTCAATGCCAAAGACCTCAACTGTCTGCCACAAGTCATTGGAGGTGGTGCGGGTTGAATCGACACCTTCAACGGCCAGAACTTCTCTTAGTGCCGTACCTTGTGTGTCCAGGTACCACTCCTCGCACAGAGGGTCACCCTTCTTCTGAATGAGGGCACCATTGTTATCAATGGCTGGCCGAGGAGCTTGGTTAAGGAAGGCCTTCTCAATGCCCTTGACACCACGAAGAGTGAGTGTGTTCAGCAAGTGTTCACCGAGTTTCTTGAGCATCACGTCTTGCTCACCCTCCTCCTCTTCTCCCTTGGCGTCCATAATGGTTCTGATACGAATGACCTGTTGATCAGCGTTGTTGTCACTGCTGATGACGGCTAGATCCTTGGGATAGTCCTCCTTCAAGCGTGCGGCTACATCATCAACGATCAAGTTCTTGTCCAGCATCTTCTGCCGATCGAGAGTGATACGCAGGAGCCAACGTGACTGTAGAGAGAGAGCCTCCTGGCCCTCGGAAAAGACCATGAAGTAAGAATCTACAATGTCCCCATCGTCAGGAATGATAGTCGACTGAATGTCTGGGTCATAGTAAATTTCAATCTTTTCAGTGACAGCACGCAAGTTGGTGTGCTCCACAGTACTTCGAAGTCGCTTGGCAACCTCTTGGTTCTGTCCACCTTCCTTCAGGTACACCATCATGGAAGGTGTCTTGATGTCCTTTGCAACGTTCAAAATTTCCTTGAGACGCGGCACACCAAGTGTAACGTTCTTAGATGACACACCAGTGAAATGGAAAGTATTCAGTGTCATCTGCGTAGCGGGCTCACCGATAGACTGGGCAGCTAGAACACCAACCATCTCACCGGGGTGGACCAATGAGCGTGACCACTGACTCTCTAGTTCACCCATAATGTGGTTGAAGGCAGCCTTCGTCAAGCGGTGATGCATGGCCAGTTGCTTGAACGCAAGGCGAGAGCGCAGCAGTGCCTTGAAGAACAGGGTTGAGCTGTGGTCAGCCTCCTTTGAAATAGGATCCTGTCCTTTCACAACCACCATTCTTTCCAACAGGCCCTTGACCGCTGGAATGACTTCTCTGGGGTCCAGATTACTGCGCTTCGAGTCGTCAACGCGAAGGAATTTCTTGGTAGACTCGATCAAACGAGTAATGTTGAGAGGCAACTGGATAGCATCTTCCAATTTCTCAGACTTCAGTTTGATCTCTCGCAGGAAATCGCGATCTTGAGAAATTTTCTCAAACTCTTCATCGAGCAATTCCTGGACCTCGGCATCACCAATCATGATGTTGCCAGCATTCTCGATGGCCTCGGAAATGGCGCTGCCGCCTTCCATGACATCAATGCGGTAGCGCCGCTCAAAATCAACGGTGCGAAGTGCCCAGTGATCCATGAATTGCTTCTCTACAATCATTGCGTCCACACCATCCTCACCATAGATGAACTGAATAATGTCACCCAGGGAGTTACGAACAGTGCCGTCGTACCTTGCGCTGACATCTTCCAGAGCCTTGACAAGACGTCGCTGAATGTAACCAGTTTCAGCTGTCTTGACAGCAGTATCGATCAGACCTTCACGACCAGCCATGGCGTGGAAGAAGAACTCGGAAGGCGTCAGTCCTCGAAGATACGAGTTCTCGATGAAACCACGCGCCTCGGGCGAATAGTCATCCTTCGTAAAGTGTGGCAGAGTACGGTACTTGAAGCCAAAGGGAATACGCTTTCCTTCGACAATCTGCTGGCCGACAAGAGCCGACATCTGGGAAATGTTGATAGAAGATCCCTTGGAACCGGAATCGGCCATAAGTTTGGCGTTGTTGATATCCTTCAAACTCTTTTGAGTTGTGGTACCGGCCTTGTCACGGGCGGCGTTCAAAGCAACCGAGACCTTACTTTCAAAGGTCTCACGAATGTTCATACCTGGCAGCGCCTCGAGCTCGTTGTCCGTGGCTTGCTGGGTCAGCTCAGCGACAATTGCTTTTTGAGCGTCAATGTGGGCCTGAATCTTTTCAATAGTGCTCTTGTCCGGGATAGTATCACCGATACCAATGCTGTGACCCCAGTGCAAAAGCCAGTAGTTGACGACACGTTGGCACCCATTAAGAAAAGCCATCGCGCCCTCGGGACCAAGCTCGTTGTAGCATAGGTGAATAACACCGCCAGCAGCAGCACCGACGATTTTCTTTGCAGGAAGTCCAAAGAGAAGTTCACCAGACTGAATGCAGATGCCTTCATCATCCAACGGGTTCCAGGCTGAGCCGCCGCCAGGCTTGTTGTAGAGACTGATTTCAGCTGGGATGACCATGCTGACGATCTGCTTGCCAGTCCAGCGAGGTCTCGGCTTGAGGATTGCGGGCTGTGGAATGATGCCGTCCCAGTTTGGCACCCACAACATAATGTTCATGACCATCTCCTTGGTCATGAAAACGTCACGGCGGGACATCTTGTATATACCCGCCAGAGTGTCTTGTACGATACCCATCAAGGGTCCGTTTCGCTGAGGGGAGACAATATTGATCGGCACCAAGCAAAGTTCCTTGACCTCGGCACGAGTTTCTTCGGTTTGAGGAACGTGCAAGTTCATCTCATCACCGTCGAAATCAGCGTTGTAGGGGGACGTGACGGAAAGGTTCAGCCGAAAGGTCGAGTAGGGCATGACTCTCACTCTGTGTCCCATCATGGACTCCTTGTGCAGAGACGGTTGTCGGTTGAAGATGATGTAGTCACCATCACGGATATGTCTCTCCACCTTCCAACCCCATTCCAGCACGATGTCAGCTCTGTTCTTATGGTGGCGTAGGTCTACACGTGACCCATCGGATCGGATGATGTACTTCGCACCCGGATGCTCGGTGGGCCCATTGCGAACACAAGCAGTCAGCTGCTCCTGGTTATACATGGTGACGGTCTCGGGATATGTCAAAGTTCTGGCGATACTTCTAGGAACGCCGACTTCGTCGAGAGACAGATTGGCATCTCCAGTAATAACCGTACGCGCTGAGAAATCGACTCGTTTACCCATCAAGTTACCACGTAGACGTCCTTCCTTTCCCTTGAGACGAGCGCGGATGGACTTGACAGGACGGCCACTCTTTTGCAATGCTTGAGGCTGGCCAGCGATATCGTTGTCCATCAAGGTGGCCACGTGATACTGCAGCAGCTGCTCGAATTCAGCAGCAATGTGGGCTGGCGATCCCTCTTGGATGGCCTGTCGAACGTTGCCATTGGCGCGGATGATGTCACCAAGCTTGTAGGTCAAATCATCTTCATTTCGCATGCCGGTGCCCGTGCCGTCCATGGAGATACTAGGACGAACCGGGGGAGGCGGCACAGGAAGCACTGTGATGATCATCCACTCGGGCCGGGCATAGTCCGTATTGAGTCCCATGTCGATCAGATCGTCGTCTGAGATGCGCTTGAGGATGTTGAGAGCCATCTCGGGTGTCAACAGTCGCTTATCTTTAACCTTGTTGTTCTCTTCGTCCTTTTGCTCGAACTGGGCCCACAGCTGCAATGCGGTCTGGCGAATCTTGGGCTGATTGTTGCCACAGCCTCCGTGGCTGTTCTTGGGCGCCTTATTTCCAGGCTCGTACTCGCCATCATCCTTGGGAACCTCGTTGGAGCAAATGTTCTTGTCCTTGCAAACACCCCATACTTCCTGGAATCTTCTCTTCTTGTCGCGGATATTGACCGCTTGCAGGAAGTCTGGGTTGCTCTAGATGTTAAGAGAGTCAGCATCTTGACAAAAACGGATGAATTCAAGGCATCATCGAGGCAATACTAACTCTGTCTTCCAAAACCTTGCTGCAATTGTGACAGACGGATTCGAGAATCTTCTTGATCTTCTTGATGAAGCCAGGATGGTAGACAGGTTTCGCCAGCTCAATGTGACCAAAATGACCTGGACACTCGTTCATGCTCTGCTGGCAGGTTGCACACTTGAATTGGCGGTCGACGGAGCCAAGACGAGGATCGTTGAGACCATTGACGCGGGGTTTCTGACGCGACTCGTCCATGGTTTCAGGGTACATGATGTGAGCCACGCTCATGTTCTTGATCTCCTCGGGCGAGAGGAGACCGAACTGGATCTCCTCCACCGTCTTGAGGGGCGCATCAGAGTGCGCAAATGTAAGGTTCGCCATGTTGGTGGATTCGGTTGGGATCGATTATCTATTGAATCTCGAAAGACGCGGGGCAAGGAACAGCGGGGCCGACTCAAGTAAATGGCCAGGCGACGGGGTTTCGAAGGTGCACACGGTACGAGAACAAAGAGCGATGAGAATTATCACAGCTGGGCGCGTGAACGCGATGTGTGATGTATTTGTGAGAGGGAATCGTAAAATCGTGACGCGGCCGGGGAAATGCAGCTGAAGTCGCAGAAATACAGTATATAGGATACAATCCTCTGATTGCGATGGAAAAATCGCTCCCAGCAATGCAGGAGGTGAAGAAAATGATGCTCAGCGGTAACAAAGAGCACGGGGGAAGGTAGTTGCTGGCAGAAAGGACCCAGCGCCAATCCAGAGGCCAAAGGCCTGAAGGCAACTGTCAACTACTCCAGAGTGGCGCGCAATCTGCTGCGTCGCAGTCGCTCTGGTCGGAGAAAAAGCTGTCGCTCGAGTTGATCGCAAGGTCGGAAAATCGCTGTCGATGGGCGGGCGCGATGTCCGACGCGCGTTGTGATGGGAAATCGGGGGTGGAGGTTGTTCGGGTGATGGAGGCAACACTCGACGTGAGGCCGATGGAGAGAGAATTTGATGCTACGAATTGCAATCGCGCTAGCGGAGTTGCCTGAGTTGAGTGCTCGCCAGCCAAGCAGGAGGCGCTAACAGAAGGTACTTGGGCTCCAGGCTTCAGAGCTCCTACTTTCTGGTCCGTGCGTTGCAGAAGTGCTGGCTGATCGCGACAATTTCGTGATGCGTACAAAGTACAGAGTAGCGGAGTTTACGACCTGGGATATTTCCTTTGATCGCATTGCTTCTTTGTCATTATCCGACTTGGTGCCAGCAGATTAGGCAAGAACCTGTGCCCTTTCCTCACATATTTGATTTTCTACTTTGGGTTTACTATGAAAATGGTCACCCATCTCACCGTACCGTGCATCTATTTAGGTACGGGACCAGATACATACACGTCAAAGGCCCAAAGTACATGCAGATAGTGGAACATCTGAGCGCCTCGCCGGTGAGTCAACAAGGGTGAAAGGTGGTAGAGACAGCATTCCCTCACTTTTAGGTGTGCACAAAGACATTCCCGTGCCATACCTAGTAATGTCCAGACAGGTACACACATTGGAGAACATTTTTGTTTGGAGCAACTTTGTTAACCCACGCACAGTGGCTTTCAAGCTGCATTAGTATCAGTGTACGGAGTACTGCCTGCCTTATTAGATCCCTGTACACAGCAAAACCCCATCATTGAAAAGTTCTGGGGGTGGATCTGTGGTACACATTTGATGTGTCCGTGGCTGCATGTGCGGCTACAAAGCTAACCATGGCTCATCATTATCAATACCTTTTTACCTCCTCCTGGGTTTGGCTGCTTTTGAAGCAGGCTTCTTGCTACCCGCTGCAGTCTTATCTTCCACATCATCATGGCCCTCGCCTGCTTCACCCATACTTCTCCTACGTACGGTGCCAGTAGAGACGGCCACAAACTCCTCCTCGCTATCGCTCGCACCCAAGTCATAGAGCACCGGCATCCTAAAACCAGTGCCATTGACTGTTGCACCATCATCATAGCCCTTGATACGTGGATCAAGTGTCAGCACATCGATATCTTCGTCTTCAGCATCCAGTTGCCTTCTCTTGATTTCTTCTTGGGGGTGTATATCGAACTCGTCTTCCTTCTCCACATACTCGACATTCTCCTCAACTTCCATAAAGTCGGGGGCGAGCGCCGACCACTTCTGCGGGCTTGTTACGCTCCAGATATAGATACGACCTGTCTCGAGCCCACAGGCAGCAAGCACTGCACGATGCGGATGCCACTCGATGACGCCCTGCTCTTCCTTTGGGCCCTCCAGCATGCGCACGAGAGAACCGTGGCTACGCTCCCATATGTAGATCTCATGGTTGTTGTACGTAGACGCTGCAACGTATTCGCCTGTAGCACTGAAGGTGACATGATTCCATGACAGACGATTAACCACATCTTGAAACTTGTGCTCGAGCGGGACCTGTATTGTATCCGGGTCGAGGTCTTCGGCCGACAGGTTGGGTACGTTGAAGGTTCGTATGATGCGATCTTGCGAGTTGACAAGCAATTCTCTCCCAGACGCCGTCAAACGGGCTGTTGTGACCACGCCGCTGCATATTTTCTCGGACCATATGACCTCGTGTGTATTCGTGTCGATGATGTTCAGCTTGCCCTTGTTCGTGCCCGCTAATATATGGTCGCCCGTGGCCGAGTACACCGTCGCAGTGGTCTGCTGCTTGGCATCTTCTTTGGCGTGTTTCTCTTTCGTCGCAGTATCTGCGTCCTCGTTGTGTCGCCTCGGCGCAGAGGGCAGCGTGTGCTTGACATCAATCGGGTCGGTAACGTCCACCAAGCACGGCGCCTGCTCGAAAATGGAGGCGACGAATTGGTGGTGATTCCAGGGGTGTAGATCTGCTGTGTAGACCGGTGCTCGAAACCTGACTTCTCTGTACGGTGTACCAGCTTCCAAATCCCAGAGTACTGCCCTCCATCCTTGGCATGCGCTTAGCAGATATCGTCCGCATCGCGACCAGCTCAAACTTGTGATAGCCGCTCTATGGCCTCGAAGTTTGCGCGCCACGCCTATCGTTTCTAGATCCCAGACAACGACTGTTCCATCGACGCGGCCCGAAGCGAGAAAGTCACCGCGGCGATTGAAACGTAGGCATGTTGTATGGCCGGAGCGGATCGTGTTTGTGATGTTCTCCGGGTAATCTTGTAGGAGGTAATCGTCGCTGAGAAGGAGATTCATCGTAGCGGAGGCAACAATACAATCGCTGGTAGTGATTTCCGCACGAAGTCTTCCGAGAAGAGCGAGTTTTCGTACGATAACTCTTTCAGCAAAAGGTTGTCGCGCGTCAATGGTTGTGTCGCATGCAAGCCGCGATCGCGAAACAATTTCATTACAGCCTCGCAGCTTAGCAGCAGCGGAATGATGCAAGGCTACAGGGCCGTTGAGCTTGCGATTACCGTTGATCTCAGGGATTTGACAGGGGCCAGCCCGCTGAAACCCCACTAGATGTCAACCCCCACCAACCCACCAAGACTCAATGTTCCGCCTAAACTCAAACGCAGATCTCAAGATTTGATTGTGCATATATCTTTGGTGCCTCGGTGTGTTTCTGCCGTTTGAGTATCCGATTGGGGTCTCTTTACGCCATAATTTGCACTATAAAGAGCAATCCGTGCTACTGATAAACAAAACCTGACAAGTCATGGCGAACTCGAGGTGAAAACAAACGAGATCCATGTATTGCGCCCTGGGTGACTAACACCGAGCAGATTTGAGTATGTCAAGGCTTTCGAGCAGGCAGACTATTTGCTGCCCAACACGTGGATAGTCGTCAGAATAGACGGACGTGGATTCACCAAGTACTCTCACACACTTCTGAATGTACATGTTTACCAAGCTGATCGTTTTCTAGGCTCTGCACAAAGTATGGATTTGAAAAGCCCAATGATCGCCGGGCCCTGGATCTCATGAATGCCGCCGCAAAAGCCGTCATGACTGAGCTTCCCGACATCACCATTGGCTATGGTGTCAGTGACGAGTTCAGGTAGACATCCCTAGACATCGTTGCTTTCATGTACTAATAGCCACCACAGCTTTGTATTTCATAAAACATGCACGTTATTTGAACGGAGATCAAGGTGAGTATCAAGAAGTATCACAAGAAGTGGTTTAGATTCTTGCTTATGTTACCCACAGCAAACTGGTTTCTACTATTGTTTCCACGTTCACGGCTTACTATGTCCACCTATGGTCGACGTATTTCACCGATATGCCTCTGTCACCTCCCTTCCCTAGCTTCGATGGGCGAGCTGTATGCTACCCAAGTGTGCAAAACTTGCGAGACTACATGAGCTGGAGACAAGTTGACTGTAAACCCCGAGTTTCCTTTGTCGTATGTCACATTACTCATGTCTGAGCAGGCCACATCAACAACCTGTATAACACGACCTTTTGGTCGCTGGTCCAACTTGGCGGCATGTCGGGAACGGAAGCCGAGAAGTTCCTAGCAGTGAGCCAATGCAGTGTCAAATCGCGCCGCAATGCATGCTGACTGATTTCCAGGGCACCGTTTCGGCCGACAAGAACGAGATCCTTTTCTCGAGGTTTCATATCAATTACAACAATGAGCCAGAGATATACAAGAAGGGCAGTGTCGTAATTCGAGATGTAAGAATATCTGTTCCAGGAAGTGGTTGTTGTGTTGCTGATTATAATAGTATGAGCTCGTCGACCCGGGCACTCATAACGCCGCAGAAGTGGCAGATGATATTGCCGAGCCAGTGAAACAGTCCAAGACCCAGGAGGAGAATGACAGGAAGCGAAGAGCCAAGGCGCGGGTGATGGTGGAACATCTTGATATCATCAAAGATGACTTTTGGGACAGACGACCTTGGCTTCTGTCCAACAAGCCTGGCAAGGTACCGAAGCAGACATGATATCAATTCCTGATGCCCGTCTGAAATGGCCTGTCAATTCATCCCGCCCGTAGTCTGCCAGCAAGCACGCAGAGTTCGACCGTGGACAGTCTCGTGAACGAGTAGATGTAATGTGCTTTGCGGGAGCAACATCAACCAGTACTGGCTTTCCGCCGCTTTTCCTCTTTTCGTGCCCGTCTCAGTGTTCTCCTTGCTCTTCGCTGCTCTTTAGTCTCGCCAGCCTTTTCTGCCTCTTTGGCAGCCTTCTTCTGTTTCTTTTTCTCCGCCTTCAGCTTGGCCTTCTCGGCAGCTGCAGCCTTTGCAGCTTCTTCAGCTTTCCTCATCTTCTTTGCCTCTCGCCGTGCTCGCCTTTCCTCTTTCGTTTCTTGTTGCCTCTCCTCTGCAGCAGGTGTGCCGGCTCCGCTGTCAGGCGGTGTCAATAACCCAGAAACCTGGTCGACTGTTCCCCTCAAGAGTCCGCCGCTGACGAAGCACGTGTAGAGCCCCCGGGTACCAGTGTATTTCTTTGCTCCCCTTGCCGTGATCTTTTCTATGTCCAGCTTGCCGCCGCCAACCGTCTGTTTCATGGATCCGGAAGTTGTATCGATGCCCTTGAGCGCTTGGTCAAAGGCATTGAGCCACCAAGCCTCGGCCTTGTGATCTTTCTTGGAGCCGAGTCCGCGGCCATCGCTGCCTTCGCGTTTGATCAGGATGTGGTGCTTGAGACCGGTGTCGTCGCTGGTCGGATGGAGAGAATGCCCTCTTCCTCGCCACCCTTGAGAGGTCAGCAGAGCGTGGGCGTCGAGTCTGGACATGTTGGCGTTATGCGCACTACCCTGGTGATGCCTTGAGTGCGCAGCGCAAAGGAAAAGATCAGTCAAAAATGAGCGTGTAATTTATGCGCCGTTTGCCATAGTCCGCTACCATCGGTGGACTCTGGAAACTTTTGCAGACACTGCACTGGGACCAAAAAGTTTGGTGTGGGGTCCTTCCCTGCCCAGGTGTTTATCGATAATGTACCTAACCGTTAGTAGCGTACCGAGGCAGATAACTCAACTATACGCACCGTTGAGTCTCGATCCACAACTATAACTTCCAGCAACTCCGTTTAATACATACCTAGGAGCAATTCGACACCTTGATTAAATAATTTCAGTAATTGAAATTTATCAAGACTTTTTTTTTTAATAATAATAATATGGTTTTGATTTTCCTTTATTTGGAGAAAGGTAACTCTTCTGATTCAGAAATATATACGGTGGAATCTGGAGAACCTCTCATCTTACAAGAGAGTCTTGAGGATTCAAGTCGACAATGGGAAAAGTAATAACCAAGCAGAGGAGATTTGTATCTCTTTGAAGTTCTATATCTGCTAACATGTCGAGATGATGATTACAACTTCAAAGGATACATCGAGTCGTGTATAGATATAGACATGGATATCTCAAAAGGCCTGGGTGTCGATTCCACTACGTAGCGAAGCCATGTAAAGAATCAGAGCTGAAGTGCGGATTCTCTTCCTCTCCCTTGAGACTTAAAAAAACGATGGATTGAAACATATGCATGCTACGTATTCCTGGCTTTTCCTTGACTGAACCGTGATGTTTGAATATGTTACAGGGCAATTTGGTTCTCTATCCCGTCATCTACCTTTCACAAATTTCTCCCATTGATGACCCCTTTCTTCGTAGCCAGCGCTGGGACCTACATGCATTTCTCTCCAGCATCTGGCACAGTACACATCATCATCACAGCCTAGGCATTTGATTGCTCCATCTTCCAGGCAGACCGTACACCAGGTCTTACTGTCCTCGTCCGTATAGCCATGGCGCTTGATAATGCCTGGTACAGGACGGTCTGCCGGGGCAAAGGTGGGTGCGACAGGGAGTCCCAGTTCATCGACTTGAGAGGTTGGAGCTGACGGGAGGGTACGACTATCATCACCTAGTCCATTCAGGGCAGCCATGCGTTTTGTAATATCAGCCTCAAAATCAGCGTCTTTCTCAGAGGTTTCTGGCAGATCTGATTGTTCTTGAAGCTCTGTTGGGACTGCTGGAAGGTTGAACGGATCCAAACTGGTTGTGTTCTGATCATCTTTTGGAGGCCCAGAAGACTTGATGACTTCAGACTTTTCCTCTGGCGCATTGGTGCTCTCCCAATCCACCTCATCCATGGCTCGAGCAAGAACATCGTCAACATCTCGTTGCATGTCTTCCCTGTCGGAGTCATCTTCAGAATTACCATCGCCAGCTCGGTCTTCATCGTAGCCGGGCGTTTTGATTTCCTGTTCATGCGAAGATGCTGTACCAAGCTCCTCGAGAAGTGCAGTCACCCTTCGGTGCTCGTCATCCTTACTCCGGGTAACTTCGGCGGCGACTTCTTCCAGCCACTGCTCATCAGAATGAAGATCTGCGAGGAGTTCTTCCAAGGTCTGGTCATCCGTATCAAGCAGGTCGTCTGCGCTATCATGCTCACGAGCGGATCCTGCCGACGTGGCTGGGCCCTGTGTGCCTATGTCGGTGTCTGTGACTGTAGGGATAGATTGAGGCTGTGTTTGCACAGGGGCCGGTATCGCCGAATCCGCTTGTTGTCGAAGACTCTTCAAGCGATCTGATAATCCGTCCTCCCTAGTGGCGGGTTTTGCCCGCTCAATGGTATCTGCAGGCGCCACTGACCTTCGGACATGTTCAGTATGCTTATTTGCGCATATCTCGTGATACTCTTCTCGCAGGACTTGGCGGAGGAACGACAAGATTTGGGAAAACCTTACTTTGAGCTGCCATCTAGGTTGACAGTGGTTGGTTTCAGGGCGTTTAGGCGATCCAGCAGATTATTATCTGATCCTGCGGGGTCGGTCATTGTGGGACTTTTTGTTTACTCGTCTACGATGGAGCATGAAACGAGAGCAAGATGCAATATCAAAATGCAACGTGTGCAGTGTGCAATAAGGATCAATGCTGCACTGTGTGTCGGCAGAGTGTGAAGTGGGCGCTGAGCTGATCGTTGAAACACAACAAAGCATCAAAGTTATCTGATCGATCAAGCTGCCGCATTTGATGGGCTAGAGATCCGCACCTGCATTCGCCTAATAACACGTGCTCAGAACCAAGTGGATTCCACCTCTTCAATCAACAACTCGGCGTATTGCAAATTGTTGCAAAATTCATAAAATATTCTTCAGGGTACGCGCGAATGGGTTGCCTCACTCACTCTGCTGGTATAGATAGCGTCATCCGAGCCACAAGCATGGATTATTAACAAGCCTTGCAATAGGAAGAGAGCGTTGCAATAATCAGGTCCTTGCATGAGTTCATGTACGCAAAATACGCCCTCGGAGGGCCAGCGCAGTTGTGCTTGGAGTACAGGAGTGTCATCCGAGCTCTGCAGCTTACTGGCACGCTGGTTGGACAAGATCCCACAATCATCGGCTGAGGCTGTGTCTGTGGCATTTTGCAAATAACAAGTCCTACCCGACACTACAGAGTACACCTTGACGCCTACAAGGCTCATGGACAAGAACCTGCCAGTAGCCAAGCGTCCAACCCAATCTCCAGTTGCGTCGGGCGTTGAGATTGGCATTAAATCCGAACCGACCAACCGTAGGAGATGTCTCAAATGCCCAGCATAGGCTAAACTGTTTTGAGGTGCTGCGCTGATCTGGATTGCCGCGAAGGATTGTAGCTAAGCTGTTTGCAACTACCAGAATGCTGTCATGATGGTCATTGAAGCCATGCGAGCCATGTATCTCCGTACCAAACATAACTCTTCGCCGTTTTCGGGAAAAATGTTTCGAGGGCGCATCCCCACAAGCGAAAGAAAAGATCATCATGCTTGCCATGATTGTTGTGTTTTGATGGAGATTTCAAAGTCTACAAACCTCTGAGCCACTTTTGGGCAGTTTGTCGGCGGAGTCCAGTCTCAATGGTGTCTGCGGTGGAGACCCGGGGCCTTTTCAGAGTTATGATAGCCTACAGCGAGATTCAAGCTTAAATCGAAAGTCAAAATTGGGCAAAGGGTCCACTGTTGGTAACTGTCGAATGAGTGGGAACAGCAAGTCCTACATTTTGACAAAGTATGTATTATGCAAAGAGGAAAGATGAGATGTTCAAAACCTGATAAATATGTGTTCAAAAGATCTTGGGGATCTGAGAGACTCTTATGTCATTGCCAAGCGAGACAAGTCGACCGGTCAATGAGAGAGACTTGAATGAAGCACCAATGTCATCCGGCGCAAAGTACCTCCCTGTCAAGCCTGGGTTTGCATGCGGGCTTCGCTTTTCAGCGTCTTGGCGACCCAAATGGTGTCGGGGCGGTGCCACAAGGGTCTCCGATGTGAAAAAATATGGGGAGGATTTAAGGTAGTACGAGTGTCATCATGGGGCAATATCCCCGAGCGGCGAGCCTGCGACGGACCTTGCCCCCCCTACCCATTACTTAAAAACTGCATCATTGTCCTCATTCAAGGCTGAAACGTTTTCGGATTTGCGATCTACATAAACAGTCCTACCACCTATTGTATTCACGGGGTCTGCAGTCAGCATACTCCTCCTTGCTTTTTCAACAGTAACTTGGGCCTTGTTGCTTTCATTTTCTACTTGTATCCTCTTGCGCACCCTAAAGACTTGATACATCGACTTACGCACCCGGTCAGAACAAAACATTGACATGAAGCCTCTCAACACATTGCTAGCAGTCACAGCTGTGAGCCAATGCGCTCATGCTGCCGCAGTGCCTAGCTCTAATGAAGTAGAACTGGCATCACGATCACAGGCTCATGACAACAGCTACTCATACTCAGAACGCTCGGAACACGACGACTTATGGAAGAGGAAAGGCGGCGGCGGAGGAGGTGGCCGCGGAGGTAGCTCTGGAAGCAGCAGTGGTTCATCGTCATCAGGTAGGTCAGGATCGTCCGGGTCCTCATCATCGGGGTCCTCAAGTTCATCCGGTTCGTCCCGGGGCTCATCAGGCTCCTCATCAGGCTCGTCTGGCTCGTCTGGGTCTTCAAGCTCCTCGTCAGGTTCATCAGGTTCAAGGTAAGAACGACCACATCTTTTCGTAGTTCTCATCTTTGTTAACTCTTCTCGCAGGGGGTCATCTTCCAGTTCGGGGTAAGCACCTCATAGCAAACACTTGTCTAGTGTTAATTTTTCCACCGACCCTGTGTCACTAACTCTACATTATCAGTCTGGGATCATCATCATCAAATACCGGAGGCCGAACAACAACAGGCAGCGGCGTGAAGCCATCATACGGCTCTGGCGGCAAATATTATGCTGGAGGTGCAACGCAACCATACAAAGCAGGCAGTGCCAGTGTCACTTCTAGAATCGTTCCCGGACTATTCCTTGGATCGGCTCTTGGATTCTGGGGTGCATATTGGCTTGCTGGAGCGTACCATTACCCATATGCACACCCCTACTCGTATTACAACCACTCGTCGAACCAAAACGAGACCAAGCCCGTCGAATGTCTTTGCAAAACAGACGAGGAGTGTGGTTGCGAGGATAACTCTTCCGACGAGGAGTATATGAACGGCATCCTTGGCAACGGAAGCTACGACGGACTGAACAAGTCTGTTGTCACCGTCGCGAACGTGAACGGCACGGACACGATTTTTATCAACGGCACCTTGGCAAACGGTACGACTGCTTCGGGTGGCACAGAGGATCCTAATGCTGCTGGCAGTATGAAATCGCTCCTTCAGGCAGCCGGATGGTGGCCTCTTGCCGCCACTGCACTTGCTCTCGCTTACGTTGCGTAAACGAATTGTATATGATTATGACCTTGAGAGACTACATGTTTAAACTTTTCTCAAATTTTTCTCTTCTCATGACTCAGCAAAAGTTGATGAATGAGATATCAGGAATGAAGGCGATTGACCGGTGTCAAGAGGTTATGGAATCTCGCTTGACGAAATGGAGGTGGCCAGTAGCACCGTTGATACCCTTGATAGCAATCCTATCATCCTATTAATTGATTTCATAATGCAACCTTCATCGACTCGGACTGTATGAAATGTACTACTTGATCTGTGTCCAGTGTCCGCATATTTTGACTATCTATAACAGACAGGAACCTACGTCTCATGGTTCACTTATTCATTCGTCAGATCTTCGGCTTGCCTTTCTCTTCGCCGTGCTTTGCACCAGTCACCGAGTTCTTTCCATATCCTTTCCTTCTCTTCCGGCCTCAAGGACGCTGCTAGGCCACTTGTACTTGTCGCCACAAAGACTCTTGCCCCTTTCAAGTCGCTTGTCTCGACATCTTTCCCATTGCTCTGCCCCGGAATACCCATATCCTCCGTCTCGTCCTGCCACCCGTACCGGAACTCGGCTTTGGTGATGGCTCTGCCTTTTCGAACCCTCCAAATGCTCTCCCATATACTTTTCCCTACAATGCAAACCACTTCAGGTCTCCACTTTCGAATCTTGTCCTCCAGGACAGCGACTCCCTCATCCATCTCGGCTCGGCTGAGCTCGGCACCGTTGCGTGAGGGACGTGCCACAATGTTGGTGTTGCCGAGGGCAAAGCGTTCGGGCAGCGTGCCATCCTCCTCAGCCCGGCACGGCACCGGCGTGATGCCCGAAGAAAACAGCAACTTCCAGAAAAGGTTCGATGGGTGAGCGTACGCGTGCCCCGACCTTGCGGTTTGGATTCCTGGGTTCAGACCCACGAACAGGATGAGTAGGTCCGGTCCCAGGACGTCGGGTAGCAATGGCAGGTGCGCATACGTCGAGGGGGGCGCGTACGAGCTCTTTGGCCGATTGCTACGCTTTTTCTTCGGCGATGGTGTCGAGGTTTGGGATGATGTGTCTGGGTTGCTGCTTTCGCCGGCCCCCTCGCCTGGGCCTCCGTGCTTGCGCTTGATTGGCCGCGGGGCAGGTGACGACGTCTTGGACGACGCTCTGGGAGACCGCGCTTGGGATATGGTGCTCGAGATAGGTGTCACCAAGCGTGAACTACGCCGCAAGGAGGTGGCCTCATTATCAGAGCTGGTGTACATGAACTGATTGAGCCTGAGCCGACCTTCGAAACTGGGAGTGCTTTCGAGCGCTGGAGTTGGCTCCCCAAGTTTCGCCTTTGCCATTGTGGATTTCGTTTTCCCAGGTATGCGATCCGACACTTCTCACAACCAATACTGCATCTGGAAAGGAAATCAACAACAGTGACGTTACGAAATGCACGAGGTGGATGCGCTACCTGGTGGTAAAGTTGAGGTGACTTTTATGGTTTAGCAATGGCAGGGGTGAATATCGTTTCGCCCCAAGACCCACCCATTCTGTATAGTGGCTATTGTGTAGGTCTGAATTTATTCTGTATACCTGTACAAGATCTCGACTGGCCTGATCGCGACCCTTTCGTGAATTGGTGGATAAAAATTCAAAAGCAACATTAAAGTTCTACAGGAATAGATTATAGAGGAGCAGTTGGCAGCTGACCCAAACAGATGATCTTAGACGGTCTCAGTAATGCCATCGATAAGGGAAATAATTGAGGTGCAAGGCAGCCTGAGATTTCCGGTAGTCGACGAAGCTTCAAGGCTCAAGGCGAGGATCTCCGGCGCGAACTTGTTGTGGCGCCTACTGTGGATGGGCGAGTTCGAGGTGTCTATGGATCTGGAGGAATGATATTCAAGTTTCGTTTTAGTAAAATAATCCTAGTTTATTCGAATACCTTTCTTGAGATGCTCCTCCACTTCCATGCTCATAACCAAATTTCATATGGCCAACAACCTATATTCATGCATGTAACTATATTTGGCGTGTGCGACGTTAAATATGTGATGTGACATGTATCATATTGGATGTGTGGGATGTTATTCAAGTCTACAACAGAGTAGCTAGGCATTGCACTTGACTGAGAGTGGGTGATTTTCTGTTGGTATTTCTACATGAATAGTATTTTGCACTCAACCTTGTCGTTTCCGACTTCTCACATGACTGGCAGGAAGTACCCTGAGAATTGAACTTTTGGCAAGACCTGAATGTTCAAAATCAACCATTTGAAATGGCTTAAGCCTCAGATCAATGGTTGATTCCTCCTTTGAAGTCGGCGCTGGCAGCTTGGGGAATGGGAATCATAGTGCAAAATGTACAATGTCTTCAGTGACTATTCGGAATGATGCAAACACAGGAGATGTATTACTGATAAGTGATTGATGACAATATACGGTCCCCGTTGCCGTATCCATTATTGGCACAAAGAAAGAAGAAAATCGTTGCTTGTTTTGACGAGTTACACGGCTCGCTTGGCGGGTAAAAGGTTGATGAAAATACGACAATGCATCGAAAACTAGTTCTCGCGCCAACGTCATAGTCCCCCGTCCGTCTCGTATCAAGACAAACGGGCCGGACATGGGTCACGAATTGGTGAAGACAGGGAGTCCTCAAGGTACAGTCAATGGTAACTTGCAATGGCTGAAGGAATGCATCATGAGTGCAATCAGAGGAATGTTAACTTGGCCTCTTGCAGTGCTCGTTAAGAGTCTCTTTGCGGCTGCTTCAAGGAAATCTGGTCTCGCGGCAACACGAACTGATCGTAACGCCGTTGCTTGTACTACTGACATGTTAGCATTCCTACTTGTCAATACCCTTAGGCGGCGGCAAATAGGAGATGGCTGTGCTTGCGCATGGCCGGGTTGAGGCGGGCTGAGTGGGCGCAACGACCAAATTCAGGGTCAATTAGGTACAAGGGGGGCGTCTAATGGCGGGGCAGAAGCTGAAGAAGCTTCCATAGCATGGTGACCTACACCGCAGTCTCACCCCACTTCCAGCATTGATCAGCTCCCGGGATCCAGTCCAGATGCTGCTGCTATATTTACTCTTACGTTGTTCTTTGGCTCACTTCGTCTACTCCATTCTTCTTGCAGGCCAGTCAGCGCTAGAAGGTTATATAATAGGTCCTAAGAGCTGTTACGAAAAGTCAATTGTTGCTCCTTTTGTTCATTTTGCCCTCCAAAAGTCTTCCTCCTGCTATACACAAGCGAGCAATTGCCTCTCGTTTCCCAAAAAAAAAGTATCTCCTATATATCACATCAAACTGACGATTCCCATCATGGCACCCAAACCTTTTACTCCCGAGAACGTCGAGGCCCAAAAGGCCACGTACGAGAAGGCTGGCCAGGTCCAGGTGCACGCCTTCTACGACTCCCTATCTGAATCCGAGAAGGAGACCCTTTACAACCAACTCGATGGCTTCGATCCCGAGGAGATCAACCAGATTACCCACCGCGCACTGAACCCTCCGAAAGGGGACGACAAGCCCGCCGTCGTCGAGCCCCTCCCCGAGTCAGCCACCGCCAGTATACTCGACTCGAAGCCCGAGGACATTCAGGCATGGTACGAGCACGGTCTCAAGCTGATCTCGGAGAACAAGGTCGCCGTAGTGCTTATGGCTGGTGGTCAGGGTACGAGACTGGGCAGCAAGGCCCCCAAGGGCTGCTTTGACATACAGTTGCCCTCGCACAAGTCTTTGTTCCAGATTCAGGCCGAGCGTATCCGCAAGGTCCAGGAGCTGGCACAGAAAAAGCACTCGCCCAAGGACAATGTCGTGGTGCCATGGTACGTCATGACCAGTGGCCCGACCAGGGGTAACACTCAGAACTTCTTTGAGGGCAAGTCTCTGGGCGATGTTCTGCCCAACGAGACCGAGGAGGACCGCAAGAAGCGTGGCGTGTATTTTGGCCTGAACAAGGAAGATGTCATGATCTTCGAGCAGGGTGTCCTGCCTTGCATTTCCAACGAGGGCAAGATCATGCTCGAGGGCAAGGGCAAGGTTGCCGTAGCCCCAGATGGCAACGGTGGTCTCTACAAGGCGCTGTACCAGGCACCTATCGCCTCCAAGTTTGGTCCCGAGTTCGGCACCGTTCTCAAGGATATGAAGAAGCGTGGCGTCGAGCACATTCACGCCTACTGTGTGGACAACTGCCTGGTCAAGGTTGCCGACCCCCTTTTCATCGGTTTTTCTGCAGCCAAGGGTGTCTCCCTGGCTACCAAGGTCGTCCGAAAGCGCAACGCTACGGAGTCTGTTGGTCTCATTCTTTCCAGAAACGGCAAGCCCGATGTCGTCGAGTACTCGGAGATTGATGCCGCCACCGCAGAGGCTGAGGACCCGAAGCAAGCCGGCGTGCTCAAGTTCAGGGCAGCAAACATTGTCAACCACTACTACTCGTTCAAGTATCTTGATGGCATGGACTCTTGGATGAGCAAGCTGCCGCACCACATTGCCCGCAAGAAGATTCCATGCGTCGACCCTGCCTCGGGCGATGAAGTCAAGCCTTCGAAGCCCAATGGCATCAAGCTGGAACAGTTCGTCTTTGACAACTTCCCAATGCTTGAGCTGAACGACTTTGCATGCTTGGAGGTCAAGCGTGAGGACGAGTTCTCTCCTCTCAAGAACGGAACTGACGCCAAGGAGGACAACATGATTACAAGCAAGCAGGACATTATGGGCCAAGGAAAGAGATGGGCCGAGGCTGCTGGTGCTTCTGTGAGCAATGGAGCCAGCGAGGGCCTGGAAGTATCTCCATTGACCAGTTATGTAAGTCTTGGAATAGCCTGCTGCTGCATGCCGTTGCTAATCAGTGTAAACAGGGTGGCGAGGGTCTTGAGGGTCTTAAGGGCAAGACGATCTCGGAACTTGCGATTTAAGCAACATGAATGTGGATAAGTTGCAAAATAGAGCCTGGATTTGAGCAACGAGACGGTTGCTGGAAGGCCACACACCATAATTGACGGTCTACATGGGGGCTACAAAGAATAAAAAAGTAAAAAATAAAATACAATAAAAATAGAAGTAATTGCTGTCTGAATACTCTTACTGTATCGGTATTGCTTCGACACCGGAGCACACATGAACACACGTGAAGACACGAACTATGTGAAGTGAGATTTTCATTATTTAAACCGAGCTTTAGGTATAGGAGACGAAGAACTGTCTATGCACTCAAGATGTTTGGTGCAAATTCCCAAAGAGACCTGGTCAAGCTGTATGAGATTTCCTTCATTCGGCACAACTGCCAATAGCATCCATCTGATGCTCTCCCAGACGCCGGCAAGTAATCTGTACGTCTCAGATGAATCTTGCGTCGTGATAAAATTCAATGCCTACTGTATAATTTATGAGGCCTAGAGATCTGTTAAGAAAGAAAAACACAATTGGCAATAAAGACCATATTGTGCAGCTGATTCCTCAATCATCCCCAGCTATGCTGGCAATACGGACCATGACCATGATGATGGGCAGGGGTATTTTATCGATAAGCTAAGTACTTTGTAGCATGCACCGTATGCCGCTGCGGCGTCCCTGGTATCCACTCAAGCCAGAGGGCCCGTGCTTCAGACACGTCGTCAGCTACGACCAATTCAAGCGCCAAGTGTTCAGTCCAGTACCTTACAGTGGTTGAGTTTCGAGCTGGTCCAGCTATTCGCAAGCTCGACGTCGTAACCTTTCTTTTCCAACAGCATCACAACGCCCAAACATCCACGATGCGCTTCTTGAATTCTTTCGTTCCTTCCCTCCTCCTGTTAGCTGCTGGTGCAGCTCAGGCCGCATCATCATGGGGATTTGACGAGGGATCCATCACTGTCGGCGCAAAGAAGTCCGATGCAGCTGTCAAGGAGAAGTGAGCCGAGTCTCCCGTGGGCAATTGGGGGGTTTTACAAGGACCAATTGCTGACTTTTTACTTGCAGGTTCTCTGAGAAGAACCCTCTAACGACACCGGTCACTTTGGGTGCTTCCGACACATTGAAGATTGTCATCACGGCCAAGGAGAACGGAAAGGGCAAGCGCCCTCACCAGGCTTTCCTCGTCCTGCAAGAGTCCGAGACTGGCCTCGAGGCCCCGTTCCCTCTCACTACCAAGGAGAATGGCAAGGCGACTGTTGATCTTGTACGTCCAGCCCCGATTGATCTCCAAGACCCAATTCCTACAAGCAAACAACTAACCTGTCCCCCCACGAATAGAAGCAATCCGAGCTCCCCATCCAGCTCCTGACCTCGTCTAAGCCCCTCAAGGCATCTCTCGTCCTGGCATCCTTTGGCACCTCTGAAGGCTACAACAAGCCCGTCTTTGATGTCGAGATCAAGCTCGACCCCAATGCGACACCTCCGACATACGAGAAGCCCATGCGCTACGGCAAGCTGGAGGAGATCACCCACATTTTCCGAGCTGATCCCCAGAGCCCTCCCAAGGTCATCTCCTTGGTCTTCTCACTGGCCGTCCTTGCCACTATCCCAGCTCTGTTCCTTGGTGTGAGTTTCCATCATGCTCCAATTGTGAATTCAAAATTATGCCATCACAAACTAACAATTTTGAACAGTGGGCTATCCTCGGTGGCAACGTTACTCACCTACAGAAGGCGTTTTCGACTGCTCCCGTCTCTCATGGCGTCTTCTTCGGCTCCATTATTGCCATGGAGCTTGTCTTCTACCTCTACTATGTCAGCTGGAACTTGTTTCAGACTTTGCCCGTCATTGGACTGGTCAGCGTTGTCACTTTCCTAAGCGGAACCAAGGCTCTGGGCGAGGTCCAGAGCCGACGCCTGGCTGGCGAGAGATAGATCATGAGAGAAGGGATGATCGCTTGATCCGACTTTTTATATTGTGATACACACTGCGTTGACGACATGATCTGTATTTGAGCATTGGGCAGCGGGCAAACAAAAGCACATAGGTAGACCAGCTACATGTATAACAACGATTCGGCACCGGCATCAGCTGCAAGAAGTGTCTGAAATCAAGACAGCATGAATTCGATAGCATGAGATATCTCATTCATGTGCTACAGATCCATGCCTTATTGTTTTCCGGAAAACTAATGTATCGAGCATGCAATGTGGCTCGTTTCACGTTCGTCATTGTCACTGGGTGGCGAGTCGGCAATGGATGCTGACAAAGTGTTGCTCTGTATGAGAAGAGGGAGGAGACCACAAAGATAGGTACACTACTGCTCGAACATGCACAATATTCTCAGTCTCCCGCGACATTTCTTATGGCTGTCCGGCGCCATTGACTTGTATGGTCTGTGTCTCTCATCCCATGATTGGGAATTTTGAGCCTTGAGTTTGATTAGATATCCAGACATGATGCATTAACCTCTTTACTTCTTGGGCCCCTTTCCTCTATGCATCCCACTGCTAGATGATTCCATTATAGGCAGCCAGATATCTGCCAGTACTCAGAGACATTATCCATTTACCTTGTGCGGCATCTACGTATTGACCCGGGGTATAGAGCAAAACGCGTAATCGCTCAGCCCTTTACTCCAGCGCTGCTCTAGCGCAAGTAACCATTGCACACAAAACTTATCTTTGCACTGCCCGGATCAACACACACAAACGAACGAGCCAATGGGCAATGTCCTCCTAAGAACATGGTCGTGTCGTTTATATGGCTGCCTAAGCATGCCGGCTGTATCGGCAGGTCGGCAGTCGGTTGACTATCAATATCCAAAACCTGACTCCGCCACTCATCATTTAAATGTCGCTGGGCTAGAATCTTGTAGCGTCATGGATTCGGGGCTATGCATGGGAACAGCGGAGAGGATGCCAACCAGAACCAATGATATAAAGTCGTCCAGAATCCCAATGAATGCCAAGAAAAATATACTCTAGACACTACCAGTTATACCAATCACTTTACAGCATATACGGCACTTATTGACCTATATTGTCATCTGTCAATCAATACTACATCAACTTTCAAAAACTTCACAACCTACATTGTACTATAGACTTGAACTATGGCCTTTGTTCTGGGTCTAGTCGGTGGCGCCGTCCGCCATGCCGTCAAACGAGAAAGAGAAAACCAGTCTAGCTACCAAGATCATCAATCATTGTTACGCAATGTCGACGGCTACAACTACAGCAACAATAACAACAGCCCATACCATCAGCAACCACCGTGCCCATGTCTAGGGACTCATCTTCCACAATATCCCTGCGATCCGTACCGGTCGCACGAAGCTCATGTACCAGTATCAAGGCGTGAATTCAAGCGCGACTTGAGACGAGCCCGACGTACCGAGCAGCAGCAGCAGCAGCACATACAGAGAGCCGAGGCGTGCCGACAGCCCGGCTATTCCAGCGCGGTACCGGCGGTGGTATACACGGATCACAATCTGGGCAACACGGAAGGCAGCCAGAGAAGAGGTGTAATCCGTGGCACGGCAAGAGATCTGAGCCAAAACATGAGCAACACCACGGCTCCGCCGGCCTATGTCGGGAATCGGCGGGCCTCGTCTGATCAAGGCGATCTCCAAGACGAATCAGATGCTCCGCCCCCCTATGAGCAAATTCCCGTGGAAGCCAGAAGGCGGCAATCTGTAGAAGTCTTGACATCCAACAGTCGGGAGAGAAAGATGGCCTAATCTGTTTCTCATGAGCCAGTGTATATCGATTTCCGTGTAGTATGTAGCGAGCATGAGTCTATGATTAACGTTTAATTCGGATTTCCTATGATTGATGGTGACTTAATATGCTCAAGTTGTTATTGTGTGTATTGCAGTGGCAAACAAGTATCAAGCTTAAGAGATTGTAAGGCCGTATTGATATGGCCCTTTTCCCCTTCTCTTTTTTCGTTTCTCTTTCTCTTTCTCTTTCGGCCTTGGCAGCAATTAATAAAGGATAATGGAAAGAAGAACTCCAAGGGCAAGTCAGCCGATAGACTACGGGCATAAGCAGGGAGAGAGTAGAACATCACCATTCGACTATATGACATTTCCAGACATTCCCACCAAATGTATGCAGGATACCGTGAGAACTCTTATATCTCGTAGTGTCAACCACAGCCTCTATATGTGATACATCAGAGAGCGAATTGGATTAGAGCCATTCATATAGTCGTGCATGCAGAGCACAGAATAGCACTGGGCAGGATCCGACTGCTGTACACGAGAGCCTAGGCCGTGGGTTAATGTACCGTCAAGATTCGGACATGCTGTGTCGAAGAGCTGGATAAATGCGATATGCCGGATCCATGCAGGGGCGCAAAGTTGAGATGTCTGTGATTCGAAGTATGAATGATGATTATTAGCTGGCCATGACATGACCACCGGCAACCCGCCAGTTCTGGGGTTTCATGGATGGATACCCGGAGTGGCTCGGCCGTTGCGTGCGGAATGACTCAGGGATATGGATGTTGTTGTGTGTACATGTGTATCGATTTCAATGATGCCAAATCAGACAAAAACCGGTCATTCTCCGTCCCACGCTAGGGACCTTTTTTTCTTCTCGGGCTGCTTTGTGTTACCAGATTCAAAAAGTTTTACTTAGTTATTGTAATTACTGTCGAGGTGTTTATTGGATGCAATGGGCTGCATATACAGAGTACACAAAGTCTCGATGCCGGATGCTAGAGACCTGATTCTGCTTGCATCTGGCGAATGTCTGGTGTCGCATCTCCAGTTCAGACGAGACGTTGACAGCGTGTTTGGATGCAGATGAACCGATTTGGTCATGGGTAACAGTGGCGTGGATGGGTGTGGTTGCTTGACAAGTGCTGGTGCATATAATGATATGTTGTCGATGGATCCTCCCACGATTCAATGAGCCGCTGCCCGCAGATCGGTGGACCCCCCAACCAGTCTTCCGAAGGAGCATGGAGATGTCTTGGCGATTTGTCGGGCGTCAACAGCAAAAAGGGCCAGGCTGGACAGGGGTGCGAGAGATGAATGGGTGAGGATTGATAATCGACGATGGCTGCTTTGCTGGTTTACGTATCACTATGCAGCTTTGGGGGGGGACGGCCCGAGGGGATTTCCAAATCAAACCATAAACCATAATGCCATGTTTGAATCGCTATGTAAATCTTGGCAGACACTATGAGCTGATGGGTGGGCAAGAGGAAAGAAGTTCCTATTTGGAGGTTTTTTTTTGTCCCTTCCCATGAGCAGTGTAACTTGATGCCCTGTACGATACAAGTACCTACATTGTATTAATAAGTGATCCGAATCAGATCAAATTGAATTTTCTTTACCCCTTCGTTAAGCGAACGGGCTGCATGCATTAGGCGCACTACAGAGTACGTACCGAAAAGAGAAAACAACCAGTCCCCCTGGACGCACCTGAAAGCCGATGCTTGTCTGGTGTCTGGTTCCTGTCCATCCCAGGGCTTATGGTGTACAGGTAATGAATGAGATGAGCCATCCCTTTGCTCATTTCTACCTGGTGTACCTGTCCTGTCCCGAGCGAGCCCTGACCGCAGCCGCGTCTTCCACACACACACACGTTGGTTTTACGTACGATGGACCTCAGTCTACCTCTATTCTGGATTTGTTCTTTACTCTTTTCGCTCAATTTCCCTTAGGGTACATCTATTCTAGTTCACGTGTAGTCCAAGTCCACATGCCCTCGCTGGCGTGGGTGGTGGTGGTGGCAGATTGCTTGATTGACCATGACCAGATTACTTTATTACCCTAGTTGCCTAGATCGTCCTTCCAGCCTTCATCAGCAGCCCTCGTCGCATTTCCAACCCAGCAAACTCAGGGACCTGTAAGCCCGAAAACCAGGGGACCTCCAATCTCTACTAGGTACATTAGCAGGGTACCTCGCTGGACTGCATGTAGTTTGGCTTGCCAATGTTCCCTGACTGGACCCTCCAGGACCAAACATTTACTACAAGGTACCTACTGCTACTACTACTACCTTCGCACCTCCCACGCCAACGCCGAAGCCGCATTTCGGCCACTCGGTCTGCTGAGAATTCGTTCAATCTTCCCTCTTCTTTTCCCGATTGACCGGCATTTGATCTTTCCTTCTACGGCGACCACAGACAAACCCAGGACAGCCTTCTTCCCATCACCAAACGACAAGCGAATTTCTTCGACTCTTTGCATAGAATTTCTACCTCGTTTCTGGATCCACTGCGATCCTTCCTCAGTCCACTCATCTTTCTGTTCTCTGCTCTCTACTTCATACCCACCAAAAGGCGGCCGCCCCTCTCAGGCACCGCACCATCAAGTTGCCATTACGGCAACAAACCCGTTTCCCGTAGTCGCCGCCTCAACTTTATCGCCTGCCTCTCACGACCGACACACCACTTGGTACTCGCTACTACCACTCCTTCTCGTGGCTACCCGAAACCTTGTTCTTCGATCAGCAAATATTACCACTTTCATTCTCTTCACACGACGTGGCCATCTCACCACATTTCACCGCCGCCGTTTCTAGAAAATCCGCGCAGAAGAACCGCCCTGAGGCCGCAGCCGCAGTCGCACCGGGCGCCCGCCTACAACTGTGCATTAGAACACTATTTCTCGCACCCATCAACCAGGCTCAAAACCTCTCTGTTCATCGATATATCATTTAGGTGGACGACAACGTTCCCTACATGCGCATAATCCGACCATCGAGCCCTGACACCTCTCGCCAAGATGAAGGGCACTCCCGTCGACCAGCTCGTCTATGAGTACATGTTCCCAAAACCTCGCTCGACGGACCCCCAACATTTCCACTCCCTGTTGCACCGACACCTGATCCTAGAAGTCCGCCAGGAGGTACACTCCTTCTACGGTCATCTCGATACACAGGAAGCCAAGTATCCCGGCCTCGACTACTGCCATCGCATTCACCGTATCCGACTAAGCCGCTGGCCCTGGCACCGCCGCCTATTTCGAGCGTTTGACGGTCTGCGCCTGACCAACTCCGAAATCTCGAATCTGACCAAATGGGAGGGTACCAAGTGGGCCAAAGAGCGCTTCGAACGGGACGCTGGTGTTGTCATCAGAGATACCGCCGGAGACGAGGTCGGCCAATGGGTCGAGGTCGAGGATAGGCCACGTGCAGACCGGATTCCGCAGGTAGTCGAGCCTGAAGACGAAGACGAGGAAGAGGACGAAGAGGAGCAGGATGAGGTTGACGAAGACATGGACGACAGCGACGGAGAGCTCAACAGTGTCGGCATTTCCCTGAATCAGCGCCTGCTGGCACGTCGTGAAGCTGGAGACGCAACGGCGCCGATAGACGAAGAGTGGGAGCAGTGGCTAAAAACTGCCATCGATTCTGGCGCATTACCTTTTCTCTCTTCCAGCAGCGACCCGGCCAGCGCACTGATTCCGCAAGTCTTGTTCCCTCCATCTATGCTTAGTGCTGCTAGAGCCAACCAATGGGATCAGGTGCCAGAGTTTCTCCACGACTTGCTCCGGCGAACCTTGGCAACAGAGGCAGAAGCAAGGCGCAACAGGGAGGCATCACCGTCCCGAATTGAGGGCTCGGCGCGCTCTGCGCGGAATATTCTTGCCTCTGCAGCATGGAGGCGTCCCTACTCAGGTCTCAGTTTGCCCCATGGCGACAACGGCGCAAACGCAGGCTCTGACAATGTGCGATACAACCGCACTGCACAACCAGGGGCTTGATTATCAGAGCTGCCAGGAAACATGTTGGCCTCGACATAAAGTCGCCGTTTGACTTGACATGATACCCCTCTTCGACTTTTCGCATACTTCAGTCCCACATACTATCGGCGTGCCATACAATCTAAACAACTCTGGCGAAGGAGAGGCAGCGTGTACAGCACGTTTGTGCCAAGCTTGTCGGCTTTCATATGAGCGGTGATCCACTTGACAAAAAGGCGAATCATGACGCCTATATTTCCTTGACATGGCCTGGCGTTATCATATTTGTTAGGGAAGGGTTCTTGGGTCATGAGCATAAGCATTGCCTACCTTGTTTTTATCCTCTGATATCCGAATGGATTTTTGGTGCTTTTAGGTTAGGTTAGCCATTGATTACTTTGTTGGTTCTAGACAGACTGGGGAAATAAAATCACTCTGTATACATGGACACCGGTTTTGCACGGCTATAAACTTGATTCGTAATGCGTGATCCAAAATAGTAGCTCTCATGAAATAGTCATGTCAAGTCCCGCCTTCGTCTTCCCTTCGACTTGACCAGCGATGTGCTCATCTTGCCAGTACAAATCTCGACCCCTGTTTGATTATTTGTTTGCAACTCCCCAAAATACCAACCCCTGTTGCCCTCTTCGTCTTGGCGCAGCTATCCTGACCGCCACTTGATGATACCTTTCTAGGCAATTCTGTCCTGCCCTCTATCTTGGGGCTCCGTGTCTAACCAAGCATTGACCTGAGATAATGCGCTTTGGAGAGTGGGCGCTATTTCCCTTCTCCGCATTTCCCTTAGAGAGAATGTGAGACATACCACCAGCATCTTGTCGTGATACTGTCTGGAGGATGTATCTCTGGAGGCATCTGCTAGTTAAATATTATGTACGTTGCACTTGAACAGCGCAGGCAAAATGTATGTTCCTTTCGTCCTTCGCATCAGAAAATTAAAATCTGCTATGCTTGCGATGGTTGAATGAACAGAACTATTCCTTCACAGTTGGCAGTGGATTTCTTCGTGGCCGTCCCCGGTGCATCTTAACACCATTCTACGGTTCAAGATGCGACCACTCGGGGATGGCTTTGATTTGGTTCCACATGTACTTTTCAAGCTTGTTCGCAGACTTGGCGTAGGGAGTAGTCTCATTATTGTACTTCCTGCAGTTGTCGAAGATGAGTTTGGCATCCTTGATGAATTCCTCGGGTGTGCTGTACTGATCGGCTTCCAGCTTGGCCTCCATGGTGGACAGGTCCATGGGCTCCTTGATGACATCGTAATAGTCGGCCACATCATCCTTGTTGACGGGAATCAGGAAAGGCCAGGCAGATTGATGGTTCTGCAAATCGTTGAGAAGGTGAAGCAGCTGGTTGTAGTTGGGGCCGTGACGAGGTTGTCGCGATAGTTCATCCATGTCTGGTGACCAACCAGATTCTCTGATCGCGTCGATGGACATGGGGTCTATCGACGTCACTCCATTCTTCCACTGCTTTGGGGGTTGGTGGACGACATGTGACTTTGAGAAGGCGCGAATCTTGGCGTGGACGCATTCCTTCTGCTTAAGCAGCATGCGGCCCATTTCAAGATAGCGCACTCGTGGCAGCATGGAGCACTGCATGATAGTACCTCCTTCATAATCTTTGATATATCCCATCCAGACCGATCGAGGAAGTGTGATTTCTTTGGTAAAACCTTGTTTCTTGAAGTAACCAATGGCGTAGTTGTCGGCATATGTCAAAAAGTGCATGACATCGCTGGTGGCTTTGACGTAGTCTTTCAAATGCGACATGAGATGCGCACCGTAACCCTTGACTTGCTGGTCACTGCTAATGGCGCAGAAGACGATTTCGGCAAACTGGCGGCCTTTGAATGGACGATACGTGATGCCACCAACAACCTCGAGCGGCTTCTTGACGATTGCTATAGATAAGTGCGTCCGATCGTAGACAAGTCGAGCTATGTAGTCCTTGGGCATCTTTGGCAGCTGTTTCTGGAAAATGCATTTCAGGCCAGTCAGGATGATGAGCGATTCCCTCTTGTTGTCATTGTTCACAACGCGAAACTCGATCTCGCCATTTCGCTCTTCGATGACACCGAGCTATGTGGTATTCGAGTTAGTGAAACTGATATTAATTGCAGCAGCATGGATATTGAGGCAGCACTGGCTGGCCTGGGAAAGTCAGACGAATGCACTTCCTGCGATGTTGGAATTGATACGGCAAATGCAATGTGTTAAACGAGCCATGGCGCGATGGCATCTCTGCTGGCACTGGCAGCAGAACATGTGAGGGCCTGCAAGGTATTCCAGCAGGGACGAGGAATATTCACTTTTTCTGGGAAAGGGATCGGCTTCATGGCAGGTTTGCTCTCGGGTTCTGTCGACTCGACTTTGGTTCGCTTGGAGGCGGTTGGCGAGCTAGGCTCGTCGGTTGCCTTGCGCTTGCCACCTAGAGGGGAAACATCATGGTCAGCTCGCGTCGCATCATATCAGAGTACATTGCAACATGAAGACAAACTCACTTTCGTCCTTGGTCATCTTTGCGACGTGACTGGCAAGTAAACAGCGATGCGACGATGGCAATTGTCGATGGACTGATGTCGTTGTCGCGTCGTGACATAGGGCGAATGGCATTAAGTAAGCGATCCCACACAATGAGTGGGACAGGGCGGGGATCATCATCGGTGGGGTGACCAATGGGGGATCTTCCTCCAAGACAATCCGAGCTAAGCTATTCTAGGGGCGCTCAGTGGAAGTTTGGGGGTCTCTAGCAGGACTGGACACCTTGCAGCTTGGCATTGGCCCGCCCATTGGCTTCTGGCAACGCGACGCTTCTTCTGGGGGGGTACGTAAACTGAAAGCGAGCTTCCAAGCCGACGACGCTCTATTGAATAGAACTTCAAATCTTCTGCAACTATTCAATTTCACCATCGGACCGTCGTCACTCTTTGCAATCGACATTCCCTACTTCGTCCTCTTCCTTCACACCAACATACATCAGAAAATCTTCCCGTATGGATCCTTCTCTTGTCGCGCAGTGGGATGCTCCAGGTAGCCCTTTTCTCCCTACCGTTGGCAAAGGCACCCAGTTCTTGGTCGGCTTCAGCCTGGTACTGATTGGTCTCGCCTTGTTTGGTGGCTTTGCGCTGAGTGAGTCACGATCTATTCTTCAGCGGAACGACTATTGCTAATCATCAATTTCTACAGACCGATCTCTTGTGAACATTCCCCTCATTGGCGTTCCAGCTTCGTTGGCATTGGCGTACGTCTACCATTTGCACTCCACAAGTTACCAATTCTCACAATTCAACAGGTTCGGCACGGTCTACATGTTCTGCGCGGTTGGAGTCTACGTCTAGACGTATATAAAAGAAAAGAGATACCCATATAAAGGCCCTGCAAACAAACAAACAAAACCCCCCGAGAGACGATCAGGCCTGTACAATAGATCAAATAAGGAAGGCGCGCAAAAGTTCTACTGTGATCAACAGCATTCATATCTACCATCATCCGCGAGCTTTCGCGCTCAAGCCATTAAAACATCTGCCAATCTGAATATTCTGCATCATGGCATCCACCATTGCGTCCATGCCGCCTGAGCAGCCACTCTTTCGAGCCATTACCAGCTCTACAAGACAAATCCATCAGCTGCTGAAATGCATCAGCTTCACCACAAAAGCCCACGTACAGATTACTCAAGAGGGCATCAGGTTCTCTGCCGACCATTCCAGGGTAATGCAAGGTAGGACGCCCCGCTGTCGTTTCCCACTGCTGCAGCAGGACATGTGGAATGGATTAATAATGACTGGTATATTAGGCGTTGCATTTCTTGACAAGGCACTGTTCACAAAGTACACTCTGAACCTTCCGGACAATGATGATGATACATCCCTCCCTCAATTTCAGATCAACCTCGCCGCCTTTCTAGAGGCATTGCTAATCTTTGGTGCCACGGATATGGCCGCTAGACAAGCCAAAGCTGACGCAGAACCCTACCGGAGCAATCTGAGGAATTACCGTCCAGATGCCTTTAGTAACCAGACTTTGGGCATTCAAGGAACATGCTCACTACTATACGAGGAAGATGGCTCGCCGTTGAGTATCATCATGGAGGAGACGGGTGTCAAGACACAATGCAACATGATGACTTACACTCCCGATCGACCTGACGATATCCCCTTCGACCGCACGGATTTGACATTCAAGATCATTATGCAAGCAAGGTGGTTGCTAGACGCTTTGTCCGAGTTGGCACCCATGTCTCCTGATCGCATTACCATTACGGCTATGCCAACCGCGCCATATCTGGGCCTTGCGAGCGGCGGGAACCTTGGTAGCGCAAGCGTCGACTTTACGAATGGACGGGATCTCCTCGAAACATTCTCTGTACGTGAGAAATGGACTCAAGGCTTCAAATTTGATCTCGTCAAGTCGGCAAGCGAGGCGATGCGCATTGCAAGTAAAGTGAGCTTCCGAGGCGATGGCCAAGGGGTTTTGAGTCTGCAGTTCATGGTCGAAGTTGAAGGTAGCGATGTCAGCTTTCTGGACTTTCGATTTGTTCCCTACGCGGAAAGTGTAATGGAGGATGAGGAGGACGCTGGCCCTGATGAGGCAGATGATGAATTCGAGTGACGGTCACGCGTCACGGGACCTGGGCTAAACTGTGTATGAGTCTCATGTAAATAGGCTGCGATACATGAGCACTACAGATCAGTCACTCTTGCAACTCAGGGATTGCCATTTGACATGTACAAAAAAGACACCGTTGTTTGTCTTCTTCAAGATAATACATGGTGCCTGGACAGTTTGCCGGAATGCCTTGACAGATTGTCTGATTGCTCGAGATATTCACGATGCCGGTCGGCTTGCCGGCGACTGTGAGACTCCCTTGGAGGCATCTGTACTAGTTACGTCCGAAAGTCGAGGGGTTTGTCTTCAACTCTAATATGCTCGCCGGGAGACATGTCTTGGCGTCACGAGGGTGTGATTGGTTCGGGCACCTGTAGAGAGATCCATGGCAGAAGTCTATCTGGGGAAGTGGAGTCTGCTGGGCTGGGTCTGAGCACGGCATTGTCGTCTTCCGAATCCTAGGCCAGCACCCTCGGCACCGTTAGATCTGTCCTTTTTGCTGCTAGATCCCACGATCCCGCTCGATCGTGATTCCGGCGGCAGATTCGATGCCTGCCCCCGTGACATGCAGCTGTGGTGTCCATGGAAGAGTCTGGATGTCTGTGGCTGATGATCATATGCGTGCGTTGGGAACGCCCATGGTTTCGATGAAGCATACTCAAGACTCCCTCACTAAAGTTGTAGATGCACTTCATCAGCCACCTCTGTGTTACTCCACAATACGAACCCTCGCAGTTCTGAGATTACCAAGATGAGCCTATACAGCGAGGTTCTAGCCCTTGGGTTACCTACTGGAGCTTCTTTCTTGCGATAACCGTGTCTGGCTGAGAGACATAGATCAAGCTGCGCTCTGCTGGCTCTCAGCCGCTCAACGGTAAGACATGGCGATTGTTACGCACGAAGCTATGAGCCATATCGACTACGTTAGACAGCCAATGTGAATTGCTGCCATCCAGGCAATCTTTGATCGCGGTCTGGCCAGAGGGTCTAAATGATATTTGGCATTTGAACCTCAGATTCGACTAATACTCAAGCGAATGCGACTTCTATAGCCTTTTGGAATTCATAGGAGCTTTACTTGGGCATCTGTTGTCTGAAACTCCGCCTCGCCTTTGCATTAGATTGAATAAACATTTTATGTTTGAATAGAGAGCATCTTGATCAAACCGAACCGTCGTTCTGTTCATGTTCATCTACGAATCATCTTTAAGCAACAGCTCATCGAAGAGAATGGTTGATCACGAGTAGTGTTGATGGATATAGCTTTATCCTAGGCGAACGACTGCGCACGAAAGATCATCGGGCGCATACACTGATTTTCATGGAAATAACAAGAGAGTGAGATCCTCACAGGGCTATCGTTCTCGGAATCCGAGCCTGATTTGGAATAGTCATCAAGAATCTCGCAACTGTTGCGCCTCCAAAGCAAAACATATTCAAAGTTCAAAATTACTCACTCGCATTGTTTGAAAGCCACGAGGAAAGTTGACTTTTCTTGTGGCCATCGGGGCGTGTGGTCCAATCAGTAGAGACACAGTGGCTGGATCGGGCAACCTGTTCCGGACCCGTCTATACCTTACCATACCCAATCTAGCTAACAAGACAATAGGTTCAACTGCACCATGTAAGGCCAGGCGCTGCTCTAGCTATCCGCAGAGCTGAGGGCAAAGAGATGAGGCTAAAGACCCTGTCCAAGACCTGTCAACTAGTTTCGTGCGAAATCTTTGCTTGTTTTTTGCCCATATACACAGTTGCATACAAGGCCGTCCGCAGCTAATCGTAGACAGTCGCAAGTTCCCTTTCGGGACCGTGATACTCGCTCCCAGCTAAATTTTATAGTGCGGTGACTCTGCCACCAAAGGACACATGGGGAACGCCCATCGAGGCCCATCGAGGCTATTACACTGTTCGTTAGACTGAAAGTTGACAGCCTCGCTCAATCTCAAGTGACAGTTTGCCATTGGATGAAGTTACGAGGTCTACATGGCTAAATTGCCCTCGGACAGAGACCTCCGGCAATTTTAGTTTAGATCTCAAGATGCTGTGTGAGGCACGAAGGCGACGATGTCTCCCATGTCCGAGATATCCACGAGAGTGGAGAGTTTAGATCTGCATGTGGACTCCTGAATTTGGATCTGGAGATATAAGGGTCTTTGCCGTCCCTTGCATATGTGGCTGTTTTTTTCTGTCAACAGCACAAACAACCCGCAACCTTAATCACATCTTCAGCCAAAGCATCCAGCCAAGCAGCACAAGTCTATCTCTATCACGACTTTATCAAGCACAAGAATAATTCAATACAATCAACATGGCTCACATTCCTGCCACCGTCACCACCTTCCACTCCAAGGAGGCCAAGACTCAGACCATCAAGAAGTTCAGGGTCTTCGTCTCGGGCTTCAGGAAGCAACGCTACGATGCCGTCCCGACGACAGAAGAGGAGCCTGCCGAGAAGTACGTCCACGTGCCCACCGAGGCAGCGGCATGCTTTCTCAAGACCGCCACTCCCCTCCACATGAAGAGGGCCAACGAAGTCCTATGAGTCCAAAGCACACGGGAACACATGGAGGCAGACAAGAACCAAGACATGGTTCTCCCTGCCAGGTGTCTGGAGCTTTGAGGATCAAGTGGCAGCTCTGGCTCTACAAAGAACTCGGCAACTTTCAGCCGCCTATATAATACTCGGCAAGCCGGGCACACTTTATTGAGGCACGAAAACATCAAAGACTGTGCCAATACCTCAAGTATCCTCAGTGGCGGCAACCATCACCTCCCCGCGCCGCTTCACAGTCATTGCCCTACGCTACGACAAAGTCATCCAATCAAAACAATCATGAAGACCAATTTTGGACACGATGGCTTATTTTTTTCTTTGTTGCTTCAATAATGATGACGAATTTTATGAAATGATGAATCTTGGGAACCGCTGGTGCTCATAAAGAGCCCGCCGGTTAAGAAAGTCGATGGACTTTGCCAGTCTTTACTACATTATGAGATATGAGCCATGAACTGCACGACCTTGTTCTTTTTTGTTACGTTGAGCAATTAATCAAGTAAATCCAAAATAAAAAACTGAATCCAATTTGAGCAAAAATCATGATCTTTCTTCCTCTAGTTCCCCTTTCTACTTTTTCTTTCTACTTTTTTTCAACCTTTGAAATGTGGCCGCTCTAATGAATACAGACAAGTATAGGCAGCTCGAGAACGGCCGATTTATCCACCAAACGCCAAATAGTGCAGCCCACAGTGAGTTGCGGGAAGACTTGTTGTCTGGTCTGGCCTTGGGCCATTAGCCAGCCTCTTGTAAGTGCTAGTACCAAGTATATTGGTAGCATTTCCGGCATCCCCACATGGGCAGGCCTATAGTCTTCTGTGGCGCCGTGACTATCTTGGACGTGGCACGATAGTAATATCCAGTTGGGCCCGCTTCTGCTTCGCCAACTTTGCCCTCTTAACAAGGTAAAAATTTTCTCAAGGTAATTGTGGCGGGCACTGACAATTACGCCATTCATAAATACAGAACCTGCATTTGTACATGGCGGCGCCACGGAGCTGCCCGCCATCACGCATCCAGTCATTCGTGAATATTGTCGTGGGCAGGTAATAAAATATTTCCGGCACGGAAAACGGGCAGTCCCGAAAGCTTCAAGTCCTACCAAGATCCAACCTTTTTCCGCCCTCAAGCCCCTTTCTCAATTTCCCCGGATGTCCATGTTGCTTCTTTTCGATCCTCGCATCATGGGTACAGCTTCCTTGCAGTTGGCCACCTGAACTTTGAACTTTTGTTTGCCTACATATGGCCCTTGCTTATACGACCCACTAATGGCAAGTATAAATCAATGTGGAATGCTGGTTCTTCTCTGGAGTAGGAGGTGGTGGTTCAACCAAAGACTCCGGACTTCTGCATGAAGTCTAGCTCGCCCTTGAGTATGTATGAATGTATCTATAGAGTAGTCATCGGTAGTCTGGAGACAACGATGCTGGGACTACTCTTTTACTTGAAGAAAGAAGCCTCGGGTTTGCATTGTGGTGGCGTATTCAAGCCTGTGTCTGTGGAAGGATCAAGACCTTGTACGTCCCGAGCAAAATGTAAGGCGCAGGAGCCAAGGGTTCGAACTTGGGAACGGGACCGAGTCCCAGGAATCAGGATACTGGAGACGCAACAACATGAACCCAAGTTGTATAAGATGGGGGGGGGGTCTTTCTTTTTCTCCAGGGCTAGTCTCAGTAAGCATGGTTGTTGATATGCAGACCTTTGGCATTTGTGGTGAGAAATTGATTGTATGCAATCTAGGGCGACGTCTTTGTTGGCACCTTAATCTCGCGAATCGACTCCAAATATTGCGTCGAGTTTATTTTTTTTTCCCTGTCACTCTTTATACCGGGACCAGCGACAACCGGCATATGTTGGAACAAGTTGGAAGAACCCATGACTGGCACATTTTTTTTTTTTTCACCCCTCTCTAAAGTCTGCCTAATGGTCCCAAGGATAAGAAATCCGCACCCGAGATGCGAGATGCCAAGGCGTCTCTAGGAAAGTCCGGAAAGCAAATAACAAGAGTGAGTGGTCGACGACAACGACGACTTATGGCGACTAGGTAGATCGACGGATGCGGCGGCCCGCCACTGAAATCATTGCCGCCCGCCCGTTTTCGCAACGATAAACCCCCCTCCAAGCCAACGTCAGCCATCACTGCAGTCAAATAAATGTTGGCAGCTCAGCTCGGCATTCCTCCTATCACCTGTCAGTCAACTTAAGCGACTGGGCAATGGGTCATGCCTCTTAATTTATTTCGGAGGATACAAAATAAATGACATGGCTGACGTTGACAGTGACGGGCCTCTGACAGCTGTCTTTTTTACACCTCCACTATGTATCATTGGCATTCCATTCCCTGCCTCCAAGGGGGGCTGAAATAAGGCTAGTTGCATCCTATTTGCATACCACCTGATCATGGGGCCAATCCGCATTCCCTTCCCACCATAATCATCATCATCATCATAATCATGATTGTCCCGCTATCCCGCATTCTTAGTTTCCCGTTTGACAATCCTTTGCTCGGGTCTCGCCCTACTTGCTTGCTTGCTTGCAGTATCTATCTGCTGATCTAAGACATTTTGACGGGAACGCAACATGGACAAGCACATGGGCTTCGGTTTCGTTCCTCTGATGGGGGAAAGCTAGACACAGCATTTGCGTACTCGACTACTGGTGATCATAACGGTAATATTATAACGATAATGACAAAGACAATGTTTTCACGACTGATTTAATTTCCTCCCCCGTTTTCGTTGTCGTTGTCGTCGTCGTCTAACCGACCCTGCGCAAATCCACTCCTCCCTGCCCTGCAGCACATCATGCGGGCGCTACAATCATACAATCAGGAATCGACATCCGGCGCATACAAGCTCGTAATTCCTGTGAGTCGTCATTTTCGACACATCGGACCACGATCTCTTTTTTTGGCTGTTGTGCTCGCTCTATCGCAATAACTCTGAACTCTACTCGGAACACAGGCGACAAGCCGCCGACCAAGGCCCTTGTTGCCAGGCCTTTCCTGGTTGGCAAGCAATATCCCCATGGCGGGTATCGCGGCCATTCTGCATTGTGAATGGCTGCTGCGCAAAAATCGTGTCGCACAGCAAGGTCGGTTCAATAGTAGCCACCCCTCGTATGCGCCCGTATGCGACGTGCCGTTGTTGGTCTTGTGCTACAAGCGCAGCAAGTATGTACTGTATATATTTTTACATGTATCCGTCTGCGCTACCTATGCACCTGTATATATATTTTTGACTCGGCATGCGCATACGCTCGTCAGAAGTACCGTTCATCTTTTGTCTAGAGGCTAGACAGCCCTGCGTGTGCAAGCTGCTGCTGTGACTTGCTTCCAGGCAAATCTATCTATCTGATCCTATACCGGTTCCATGGTCGTGGTCTCTCTTTTTGCCTTCGCCAACTCTATCCACTCCTTTGGCGATGGATTTTTGTTTGTACAATCGTGGCGCGGGGAGGCTCCATTCGGTATAGCCATAATAAGCATAAGCCGCTATCCAAGGCTTTTTTTTTTTGTCCTTCCCAGGCCAGGCTGCTGCTGCTGCTTCTTTTGTAATGCACAGTAATATTTGCGGATCTGCATGCCTTATGGGCAGGGGTGTATGCAAGAAAAGCCGACGAATCTGTTCCGAATGGGCCAATAATCGATAAAAATATATCCAAAAATTGCCGTCCTCTACACCCCTCCCCCCCATGGGTGCAATACCAACATTCAGCAGCATTTCTGCACAACACACCATCCTTGACGCCTCACTCGTGTCAGTCATCGTCCATGTATGCCCATATTATTATTCTGCCTCTGCCTCCTCTTTTTGCTTTACAAACACTTTGTTCGCAAGAGGGGTCCGAATTTATTGTTGTGTATCCAAGCAAAGAAGACTACACACACACACATCTCCTTCCCTCCCCCCCAACCCCAAATATGGACATTTCTTTTCGTCCTACCTATATGCAGTGTCGTGAGTGATGAATATGCTTCAAGTCATACCATCTTGTACTTATCAGACGACTTCCCCTCTCTCATCTAATTCTGGTGACACCGTACTGGCGGGTATCGAACCCCATATATGCTGTGTGATTTTCTCTCCCGCCTGCCACCAAGCCCACCCGCTTTGTTTGCTTGCTTGCTTGCTATGGTTGCCCTTGCATGAGGTCAAGCTCCAACGAACACGCCACCATGTCTATGTCTGGATTTAGTATCAGGAGATTAGTGTCCAAGAGGTCGGAACAACGATCGTCGGTCGACCTCAGGGAGAGGGAATGCAGCGGCGATGAAGGCTTCCAAGACCCCAGCAATCCAGATTCCAAAGACACGCGAAAGGAGTCATGGTTCACTACAAGCCGGAAACAGGGCAAATCATGGTCCTCGACTTCAAAATTCAGCTTCAGGCCGCGGAGCCTCCCGTATAATATCTCGAGCATTCTGCTGCCGCTGTCATCGACTGAGACATCGGCATCATCCTCGGCTAGTTCATTGTGTAGTTGCGACAGGCACGGATCCCCGAGTCTCGCCGGAAGGAGCAGGTCAACTCTTTGTTCGCTAGGGTCAAGGGACGAGAGCAGCGAGCTGTCATTACACGCATCAAGTACCACCAGCTACGACGGCAACGCAACCTCATCGCCCTTGTCTGAGCGAGACAATGATACAGACTCTACACCCACGCAGAGCAGACTCAACTCGTCAAGGACCAACGTTGATCAGATCCAAGAATCAATGCCTTCAAGCGCAGAGGACAAGGACAAAGACACAAGCCGGCCAGGCAGTAGTGTGCTCGACGCCACCGATACTGGCGTCAGACACAGCGTCGAAGAGTTCATCCAAGAAGCCAACAAGGCCTTCAAGATTGGGAATTCTTTCAGAGAAGTCAACGCCACCCGCACATCCTTCAATGAAACACCAAGATTACCACCTGCAGAAGCGAATGCCTCTGCCCCACGCAGGCGCGCATCTGTTCAACGAAAGCCCAAGAAGACATATCGATTCGCTCGATCTACAGCAACAACACCCATATCGCCAGCTAATTCAGTAAGACGGAAACCATCGGTCAAGACAGTCAAGAGGAAGAAATCAACCAAGGCACGACAACCAATGAAATCACATCGCAAGTCGCTAGGCCCCAAGCCGGCAAGCAAGAACAATTCAAAATGGACAGAGAACATGTCGGATTTATTGAGCGGGAAACTATTCCAGAAAATCGAAGCAGATGAAATGTTGACGCCGGCGCAATTGGAGGCTTATAAGCTGCGCAGGTTGTCCAAGCTTCAGCTGGCGGCCAGGGAGGCGGCAGCAAGTGAGACATCCCTTGCCTTGGAGACCGAGACAGTCGATACGCCGGTCGAACCGTTCCACATGGATGACCTGCCGTCGAGGATAGGATCATCGGGTGTCAAGCTCACGGCCAGTACGCCGATCGAGGAGAGACCGGATCCTGCAGTTCTCAAGGGCACAGCAAAGAATGTGATAGTAACCAACGAAAACAACAATGATGAACTATTTCTAGGACAAACCAAGGCCACAGGCTCAAGAGTTCTGCCCTCTTCCGACCCTGCTGCCAAGATATCAACGATCCAGGATGACCACCCAAACCAGCACAGTCAAACGACAAGCCCAAGCCGGTACATACTGCGCAAAATTCCCGAGCTACCGACAATATCCGAAAACACCACAGTCCGCGGGGATGAGGAGTTGTTCCTCACCCACGGCCCGGCCAAAGGCAGAAGAAGCGACAGCGCTGCCAGCATCACCACCACCACCACGACTACTCTGGACCCCGACTACGTCTACCTGCGCTCGACCCCCTACACCCTGACGGCGCCGCGCTTCCGGCACGGGCCCATCCGGCTCGCGCGAGCGGACCTCTGCCCTGAGCCGCAAATTCTCGGCGGCGAGGACGGCGGCCTCGACTGGACCGCCTTTCAAATGGCCATATTGGGCGGTGCCGGCGACATGTACTTTTTCAACAATGACAATAACGAGCGTCTGGCGCGGCAGCACGCGGCCGACGACGCCGACGCCATTTGTGCCTGGTGGGACGATTGGGGGTTCGATGACGGCTACGGAGCCCTCGTCGCCTCGCCGTCCGTGGACAAGGACCACCACCAGCACCGTAACCACTACCGATCATCCTCACGCTTGTTCCCTGTGTCGTCTTCGTCGCGGCGGCCTTCGGACACTACCACCAGTAGTAGTAGCAGTAGTAGTTGCGACACCTCGGACAGCGCCGGCTACAGCAACCCCGAGGACACGCAGCTGTACCAAGACATTGGCCGGGACAACCCCTACAGCCCAAAGCACAAGTGGGAGACCCTGCGGCGCAAGGCGGTTCTAGAGGGCCGCTCCATGGATCTCGACGTGGGCGACGGCACCAAGAACGGCCGCAAGGGACGACGCAAGCACCGTAACCACAAGCTGTCCAATAACAGCAGCGTCGGGGCCAAGAAGAAGTCGGGCGGAGGAGCACTGGATATGCGAGAAAGCCTAGCCAGCATGCCTCAGAGCCCCATGCTGGATCTACAGGTCATGACGAGCGACAATGGCGACGTGGATATCGTGCCCATGGGCTACAATCTAAGCCATGACTTGGGTGACTTCTTGAGCTGGGGAAATGAGAATGTCCACCTGGGCAACGTGCATTATGATGACAATTTCATATAAGAAGGGGGACTCGAACTAAAAAGAAGTAACGTATATTACGAACCGGATCATGAATTGGATGGGATGGAGTTGGGTTGGTACCGGCGTAATCAGGTTTGGTTAACGGGATGGAACAAGTGATTCTTGTGGCATAGGTAGCGTTTGTATGTTTTGGATACCCATCATTCCTATATGTTTGGATTCTTGGGAACACTGAGTACTCTGAAAACAAAAGAATCATATAGTTTCATAACCGCAGTAGAAGTAGCGTAGATCGCTATCTTTCCAAGGCATTTTGTCCTTGTCGGCTTTGCCTCTGTATACATGTCCTGGGTGCAGCTTGTGAATTCGGCTTGTTTCTTTTCGTCCCCTCGACCTTGATGTTGACTGCAAAGCAGACTCTGGATTTTTCCATGCTTCCCAATTTTTGGCAAAGACAGGAGCATCTATCCCTGGTCTATGGTCTTGTACTCGTATACAACACAGCCAATAGTTATGTTGCCGCCAATCCCGTCATTTGATAGACCTGATATATATGATTTAGTCCCATGAACGAATAAAAAGGTAACGGGGCCGCGCTCACATTTTGCGTAGTCATCCCAAAGCAGGTGGTAGCAGTTGATATCCTTGTTCTCATCGATGGGGAAATTGAAGTCGACGTCCATCTGCTTCTGGTAGCAGCCGTCAAGCCAATAGACACCGAAAACGTAGGGAACGGAATTGATCCAAATTTGCTCATCCTGCAACCATGTTGACTTTTCATTGGCGATAACTCGAGGTCGGTTTGCCGTGCAGATTTTCGTGCGAAGCAGGCGATCCAACACCCATTCCTGTACCCTCATGTGGTGTGAGCCGAAACAGTTGAGGGGGTAGCAGCGCCGCTCCCCGTCGCCGCGCCTTGGAGGTGTGATGTAGTAGGTGAAGATTCCGCAGCCGGAGCCTTGCGAACCTTTGTACGTCATGAGGTTCGTCTCGGATCCGCTCCGTGTACAGCGAGATCTCAGAGCCTCGAAATTCGCGGCGCAAGCAGTTGGCAGCTCACATGCCACGCCCTTGTTTGTTGGGTTGTAGTCGAGATCAATGGTGTACCCCAAGAAAGGCGAATCAGTGTCAACAGACGGAGAAGCAGCTGGATTCTGCGAGAGCTTGTCGACGAGCATTTGTCCAGTCATGTCGACTATCCAGGACACGGATTGGCGCCCCTCATACTTGTCGACTTCGGCACAAAAGCGAGCGTAGATGCTGGGGGTAAAATTGGCAGAGGGTAGGCCTGAAGTGTACTCGGTCTCGCAAGCCAGAGTGTTGGCAGCAGCCACCCAAACGAGGGACGAAATAGCTAGAATGAGGGACTGAGCCTTGAACAAATTCATCTTGGTGACGGTATTGTGATGTTCGTAGACGGATGTGTATGTGGATGTTTGCCTTGTGCGTTTAGTAGTATAAGTGTACAGGAGGCGTACTCTAGAGGTCCATCTTCAACAAATATCAAACATGATATCGTGTATGCTCAAATAGATCCCAGAAAGAATTCCTCCCTAAGAATGATCTATTTATAAGACTTGCGATTATGCTGCCTGGAAAATGCTTCTTTGCAAACGGCAAAACGCAACTACCCCCATATTCGATGAACCATTATCAAAGATGCCTCGTCCCCAAACTGTTCTTTCCTTTTATTAGATACACCTAAGCAGGTGAAAAGGAATCTCTCACCGCCACATAATTTCCGAGTATGATTAGAAATTTAGAAGAAAAAAAGTGACGAAAACGATAAATGATATGTTTGGTCTGCTAGTTAGTAGGAACAACGCAGAAATTTTGCCATTTGAGCATATACCACGGATAGAGTTACATGAGATAATGTTTCATTGGCTTTTTCAGATGCTTTCTAGTCTAGAGATCATGGAGTACGATAAACTTGAGATGCCCAAGAAAGAGCAGAATAGCTTCATGTGCATAATGTTTCCCGGTGAGGTTGCAGCAAATGACTGAATGCGACTTGTACGTAGTTTTGTCAGGACATCACATATACACTGTCCTCATCAAATCCCTTGCGAATAAAAAGACAGGCCAATCCAGGCAGAACAGAAATGCAAATAATGAAGCCTTCTCAAGCTGTAAAGTCTATCTGTAATACTATGTCCATATGGTCTGATACAACCTTTGTCCCAGCATTTCAATGAATGCAAGAGCGGCCACTAGATCAAGGTACTGAGGCATGTACCACGCAAAGACGTTGGAGTTTGGACGGCAGTTGGACCCGGTGAGCCCTTGCAACCCCCCGAGGCGTACATATTATGGTGCCATGCCGCTGCCCAGCCCGGCTAAAATCCCACCCCCTTCCTGCTATTATCCTCCCCCCTATACATCGTCCTACAGCACAACACAATTAACATATACCAGATTACGAAGGGCTCACACCGCCCCTCGAGCTTCCGGACCCTTAACCCTAACCACTAACTAAGCTAAATAACCCTAATAACTAATCCTAAAGCATCTGCGCATTTTTCCCATTTTGTTTAATTAAGATATCGTGGATTTATGGTGTTTTAAGGACATGTACCTTTTTGTGTGGCTTGCGGTGTGGCGGGGCTGCGGCTGATGCTGTGCACGGACACTTTTTGTATGGAAATTGGCGACGGGGGGAGGACAATAGCAGGAAGGGGGTGGGATTTTAGCCGGGCTGCCGCTGCCGTTGCCGCCAACAAGACCCCCCTGTAGCCCCTGCAGATGGACCCCACATTCACTACCCGTTTGGGAGTGTTCTCAGTGATTCAGTATCCTGAGCAGCCCAGGAAACCAAAACTTGCCTTGTTTCTTTGGGAAGCCGCACACGTAATCGTCTCTCTTTTTTTTCTGCACTTGCGTCAAAGATAGCAAACAGCAGATCACAATCATTTCTCCATCTTCACATTTGTATTTTCCCTCACGTTCTCCCTAATACTCCTCAAATATCCCCCATATTCTGTCGTACCCCCCGCCGATATTTCACACGCCCCAGATTTTCAGATCTGTACTTCCAGAACAATTCCGTTGAACAATCCACTCGGCCCCAACAAAGCGCCGTACCATCCGATCATCGAACCCCTGTCAGCGATAGTATACCACTAGATTAACTACGTACTTTACTTTCTCGACCACCATCGAAACATCGCGGAGTTTGCGCGAGCGAAACTTACCTCCGGCCGGCTCGGCCGTAAAACCTCACTCCTCTATTTTCTCAATGGCGTCCCAAGTAACAGCAGCGCCTTCCATCGGCAGCACTGGGGACGTAGGCGGCGCATTGGGGCCCCGTAAAATCTTGCCTTCGTCGAGCATTGAGACGCCGCCCTCGCCGCCAGCCACCGAGACGGACACGGAGACGGACTCGGAAACGTCGCAAAGGAACCATGGCAATGGCAGTGGTAGTGCGCCTGCCGAGGAGGAGGATGATGCGCCCGTCATATCGCCCGTGACCTCGCCGCCCTACTGGTACCAGTCGCATCCGACCCACGCCCGGTCGCCGTCGCGAGCATCGGAGGAGTCCATGGTTGGCGCCATTGTGATGCGGGACAATGAGAACAGCAGCTTCGACGAGAGGAATCATGCGTGCTGGGCCAAGAGCGTCGAGATCACCGACTACGTCATTGTCAACGGCAGCGCCACTAACATTGGCGCATTTGTTGTTTGGAATATCAGGGTGGAAACTCTGAGTGTAAGCTCTCTTGACCTTGTCTTCCCGGGAAGAACACAAACGTTCTCCCATGTTTCTGAATCTGGAATTACAGAGGGACTAACATGTCATATCAGGGGAGCTATATGAATATACGTAAGCGGTACTCGGAGTTTGACGACCTTCGGTGGCGGCTGATGCGCACGTTTCCCAACTTTGAGGCCGCTGTACCTGAGCTGCCGCCAAAGAGCCTAATTTCCAAATTCCGACCCAGGTTCCTGGAGAAGAGGAGGGCTGGGCTGCAGTATTTCCTCAAGTACGTTCGTTCTAGCTTCATCCATTATCCTCTCCGCCTCCCCTGCATGTTCACCGCTGACCACGTGCATAGTTGTATTATGCTGAACCCTGAATTCTCGGGTTCACCTGTGCTAAAGGAATTTATGTTCTCGTAAAATAACATATCGAAATACTTTACGAAATGATATGCACATATGACATATATATTCCTGTATAATACTTGAACATATTCGGATCCGTCTTGGGGCGACACGACTTTGATGATGGCATAATGATAATCTATGGATAAACTGATACTACAGTCACAGGAATTGGGTGGAGAGCGTATGCAAGGAAAAGTACCCATTTTACTGTCAATAGTCATCATTCAGGAATAATGACACTACAAATAAAGCCGTTGCCATGTGTAACGAAAATGACTTCATGATCAGAGATCAATTTCCAGGTGTATCTGTCTTGCCCATATATGAGCAACATATATGGGATATTTCTCTAGCAAACATCAAACGCTCTGTTTCGCTGGCCTGTCTTTGGGCCATCTCGAAAAGAAAATCGCAATCAAGTGAAACGCTATGCCTTATCGAATCCGCGATCTCGTTGTTGCTCGCCATCCATACTCCTCAAGCGCCCCGCTTTCCATTGCCGATGCCTTGAACCTCAGAAGCCTTTCCTCTAAGGAGAACCCCCTTCCAAGTCCCATCCTCACTCTAACCAGTGCTGTTCAGGAAGCTGAGGTAGCAGTTCCAGCCGATACTAATAAAGTTGACAAACAGAACACGGTGGTGGAGCGGGACAAACTTGAAGTTGACGAGCTGGACAAAGGGCCAGATGAGGTAGTTTGTCTGCAGGGCGGGCAGATAACTCTTTTCGAGCTTGTCGCGGGGGGAGCCGCCCTCCATGATGGCCATGCTGCTCAGAAAGATGCCGATGAAGGTGGGCGCAAAGAGGCCTTGGTCGCAGGCCACGCGCGCCACAATCTCGGCGTTCTTGTTGCGTAGCACCACGTTGCGCTGCAGGAATTTGAACCATGTTGTTGCTGCTGGGCCAAAGACGGCTGTTGTTTTTTTTGGTGAGATGATTAGTTTGATGTGGTCATTGTAGACGGGTAAGATAAGTGCCATGCCAAATTGGATATCAAGTAGCCGAGAAAGAGACTCGTAAAGAGGGGGAAAACCATGTCAAGATGTGAGGGCACGGGACCATCAGTGACAGACATCCCCAAGATAAGGGCATCCCGAGGAAGAATGGGGGAGAGACGCAACCAAGAGATTTCACGTACCACCACCATAGAGAAACATGCGTCCCGTCCGCGACAAGTCATGCTTCTCGAGCCCCTTCTTCTCCACGACCTGCTGCGCCGTGATGTCGCCAGTCGCAAACAGGACCGCCGTGGTGATGCTCTGCGTGAGCAGCGGCCGCGCCGCCAGTCTAGCTTGGTACCTGCCAATGATGGTGAGCCACTTTTATCTCGGAAACGACAAAATTTATATATAAAATGCTGCGAAACCAAGGAGGTGGTTAGCCTCCATCTTGAGAGGTACTCACCAACGAAGCATGGTGCTGGTACTTTCCCCGGTCCTCTAATCTCAATCCTCTTTCCACAGGAGAGATGCTTGTGTTGATTCTATATCGTATGTCGATAGTTTTGGTAGCAAGGGGTGAAGAAAAAAGTCAATTGATTAGGTTTTGACTTTTGCTGGTTTTACAATGGCCCTGACCGAAGCAAAGCAGGCACGGGATACGTAGTAGTAGGTGATAGACGGGAAATAATAAGAAAAGGAATAACAGCTTTGGTTGGAGCGCCTGGAAAGGTGATCTCATCGGTGGGGCGGGGCTAAAATACTACATTAGGTAGTCTAGTCCGCTGTTATTCATTCTCCGTCTTCTTTTTTTTCCCCCTAATAACCCCATGGGCACAAGTCAGCTATGTTATTGACACCTCCGTCTGTGAATTATTTAGCAGCCTGAATGTTGAATATGCAGGGCAAATGTTCCATCTCACATAAATTCTAGTCAAAAGGACAAATTGCGTGTATTTATTTGTCTGACACGTACCAGGATCATACAGTTCTCAACCGCTCATGAGGACGATGTGATGTCTCTGGCAGGGAGCTCAGAGCGGTGGGAGCTTCCAAGGTTCTAGGTTAGCTCTTTGATCTCGGTAAGCTTTCCCCGGATAGCGGGTCCTTGTGTACAAGCTGGGGAGGGGGGCTGGGGTCAATTAACGGTGCGTTGATTCCCCCTTGTTCCCTGGAGCTATGGTAGGGGACCAAAGCACCTACATTAGCAATTCATAAACTCTGGGTTCTATGCAGGGTTCATTAGCCAAGAAAGGAGAGAGATTCGAGATGGATTTGAATGTCGGTGCATCTCAAGAGCTTGAACAGGTAGGATGCAGGTTATTCACCAACAAATGCCCGCCCGAATTATCACTTGTAGTGTCATCCGAATTAGCGGGCTAGAGCCAGCACGCAGAAATAATGATAAACATGAAGCCAACCGAATCAAGGCTTTTGAATCTGTACTCTATTCTTGGGTATCAATATTCACCAGCTAGATTAAAGTCTACTGAAATGCTTCATCACAGCTCTCTGTGCCTCGCAGAATCACTCGCCTTTACACCATTCCGGCGAAACGCCTGCTTCGGAGATGTCATGTAGCCGTCCAGCTCCATCCACTCCGCGACAAATGCGGTGACAATCTTGGCCCAATCGTCAACCGTGTCAATGTCCAAGTGCTTGCCATCATCATCCATAGTGTGCCAAACCACCGGGAACGGGTTCGGGATAATGTGCAGGATGGGCACGCCTCTGACCATGAACGGGATATGGTCGTCCTCGATGTAGCCCCGGAGAAACTGGTTGGGCACCTTTTCGGATTCAGGGAGGAAAGGCTTGGCTTCCGTGGAATGTAAGAGGCCAAGCTTCCGCATTCGCGTCTCGACACCGGCCATGTGCTCGTAAGCCCAGTGAGTGTTGGCAAAGTACGAAGGCACATGCGGGTCCGCGGCGCCTAGAAGGTCGAGTAGCAGAAACACGTCAATGGATGAGAGCGCCGAGCGGCGCGCCGACGAGGCCGGGTAGACCTGACGCTCCCAAGTTTCGGCGAGCGCCCGGGCACCGTAAAGAGAATCGGTCGCGCTCCAAGTCTCCCAGGCCTCCTCGCCGTCGAGCAGGACAATCTGCACGCCGCGGTCCTCCTCAAGGCCCGACCCGGCCTCGCCGCTCTCCCGCATGTGCTCCCACTTCTTGGTCAGGGCTGCATCGATGCTACGCGCCACGTGCAGTAGTATTGCGCACGGCGCCGCGCTGTCCACGGCCCCAATGAACCCCTCGGGCCTATATAGGCTGTCATAGTGTGCGGCCAGCGTAAGGCGACCCACGTCGCCCGGCAGCGCCCACGGGGGATCGCGCGTAAAGACGAGGCTCGAAAAGGGGATCTCGCGGTTGCCGGTCGCGGGCGTCTTGGATGTCGAATTGTACCAGTCGATGCGCCAGTCTGGGAGGTGCACACGGAAGAACTCGATAAAGTGGCGCTGGACGGCGGCCGAGCCGGGGGTGCCTGGGACCCTTGGGATCAGGATCGGAGACAGCAGGGCGCCCGAGTGTATGTCAAAGTCGTCGCCGCCATTGGGAATCAGGCGCAGCGTGTCGTCGGACACAGGTTGATACGCATACGAGCCCGAGGGAAACAAGGCGATGCAGAGCAGCAGCACGGCCAATAGCCCGGCCAAGGGCCACTGCCACAAAAGTTGCTGGCGGCTGTCTTGTCTCCAGGGCATGACTGGCGAGACAATTGTCGGAGCGGGTCCGTCAAGCGATCATTTGCAAGAGTGACCAAGGAAGAAGGCAATATAGTTTGAAAATAGACCCTGAATTCTGTCTTAACCCCCCAGCCGCCATCTTTCGCGTGACAAATGGACCGGCGATGTGTCAAGTCGGCCCCTTGTCTTAGCAGCCAGAACTCAAAAGATTAGGGGAAACGGGCCTAGCCAGATAGTTGAGATATAGCGCCCCAACCTCCCAAGTGGCCCACGGCAGGTCCCGTAGCTTCATGTCCACGGGTCCTCCTTATGCAGGTTCCCCGGGAGGGTTAAGCCTTACTGTCAGGGACTCCAAACTTATTATACCTTACAGTTTGCCTGCCAATCAATGGAGTTCATCGTAGGCTCAACTAGCCAGGACCACAGCCGTCGTTCCTGAAACTCTACGTAGTCGCTCCAGTCGAAGTTCCTGCAGACCTTGTTACCAGCCACGACCAAGACAGCGAACCCGCCAACCAAAGTCGACAGTGTTGATATCTTTTGTCCAGATCTTGAGCGAGGCGTCAATGTTTAAAACTTGCATTTCGAGGTCATAGGATCATGGAGCTTGGCAGTAATACAAGTGAGACCGGGCTTCTTAAGCCATAGGCAACATGAAATGGTGACACCTTTACCCCAACACAAAGTGTTCCTTATTAGAGTATGTGATTGTGTCACCATTCAACGATCACAGACACGGCTTCTTCTCAATCCCACGATGAAAACACTTTCTTTCATTGGAATGTGTATAATAATTCTGCCCAGCAACAATCGTTTTGCCCTTGATTTGTTGAAAACCCTCAACGCCGTACTAATGCTGACGCTGTCTGACTCTATCGCTTTCTTCTGCAGGTGTGAAAATCTAAGCCATTCGTCCGGCAATAGCCGTATAATCTAGCCAAGATGTGGAGTAAGAAGGATCCGATAATTATAATGGTGTATTCTGTGCGCCGCATAGGCCGCGAAAATTGTAGATTTGTAGAATAAATCTGCCCTTTAGTGTCTGCATCGCCATGACTGAGGGACTATTTCTGTGCTTTACTGCTCATTTCTGCAAAAGATGGCATCTCTTTCTGAGCATGACCATTGCTCTTAGTTTAGAGCTCCTTCTTCCCATTGGCAGTGCCATTGGCGACACCATTGGCCTGCTGAAGCTTCTTCTTGTTCTCCAGTTGCTTCTCATAAGGAATTGTCAGAGCGTTGATGCCAAGGAAGTTGCAAATGCTCGTGGTCACCAAGAAAGCCCAGCGGAAATAGACGATTGCCGCAAAGACAAAGTAACCATATAGATAGATGAGTTCGTTCTTGGCCGACAACGGCTCAAAACCGATCCGCGGCAGGTTTGCCAGAATGGCACCACCGACAAGAGGCACGAGCATGACTGTCCAGTACGGGAAGGGCTGTCTTGTCAGATGCGCGAGGATCATCTTGGTTGTCATGCGTCCAAAGACGAAAGACATGGTCAAACAGAAGAGAACAAGGTGGTTCTCGGTCCTCAAGGTCGTGTACGGCGAGTACAGCCAGGCGCCAATGGAGAGGGTGTACACGGCCATGGGTGTCCATTCGAGGAAAACTGGCAATACGGGCAGCTTGTTTCTCCTGCGAGCCTTTACGACATTGTACACGCAAAACGGCACATGACCAACCACAAGGGATCCAACAATGATCAAGATCCAGATATCACGAATGGAGTGCTCGCCGATCAAGTGGTCGTAGCCAAAGAGGTTCTTTGGCCCAACAAGATTCACAATCGGCTCGGTCCAGGTACCGGGCCCGTAGATGCCGGAGAGCGCCATGACAAGGCAAGCAATGAGGAGGCCTTCCGTTGGCCCGTTGAAGTAGCCGAGATATAGAGTATGCGTGTGGTATGTCTCCCACGTCGAGAAGAACATGGGGAGGCAAGGGCACAGCGCAGTGAATACACCCGACTTTGAAGTGCCAAGTGCCATGGCCGCCGTCTCGAGCAGACTGGCAAGGGTGCAGTTGAGCGAGTCGATTCCGTGGTCGAAGAGTTCACCGAGACCACTAGAGGTACCGGTTCGGCGGGCCTGTTTTCCGTCGATGTTGTCCATGGTCTGGTACATGAAAAGTCCGAAGGCAAAGCTCAGGTATAGCCATGATGGGCCCTATGTCGACACGAATGCATCATCAGTCATCTGTTGTGCCAAGCTGCTGCTGCTCGCGCGTATGTACGTACAGGTCCCACTAGATCTGGCATGACCAGAACAAGCAATCCAATGTTTCCCAAGATGAAGAAGAACCCGATGAGGGTGACCATGTTGGGCGCAAGCCATAGCGGAAGGAGCTCAACAAATGCATTCCACTAATACGAGTCTTAGCATGTGTACATGGTGTTTTCTTGTGATATTCTGCACCGAGATGGAGGGAGTATGCATACGTAAGGTCGCAAAATGTAGTTTGAGACAGGCGACTTGTCGACGGCAGAGTATTTGTACGATTTAAGGTGAATGAGGGCTTCGTCCGAGATACATTCGGCCGCGGCCACTTCTGGATTGGGGAGGCATGGATTAGCATACGTCACAATGTTTGGAGACTCCTTTCTTTCCCCCGAGGTGTAACATGATCTTGGATGAACGACATACTTTTGCTTGGACCCATGGTGAAGGTTTGATGGGATAGGTGGCACGTTCGGCTGGCTGCGGGATCGCAATTGACTCGTATATATATGTGAAGGCGCTTCGGCACAGGTTACCGTGCAATCTGGATATTGCGAAGGCGTCGCTACCGCAGAGCTCGACTCGACTTGTTTCGACTGAGGTCAGGTTGTTTAGGAAATTCGGGAGGGAAAAAGATGTCAACGTCACAACCTGGCCAACAGCATTATGAGGGATCTCGTGGACAGCGGCAAATGGTTGCAGGACGAAAGAAAAAGTGCAGTGACGAGCACAACTGCGGTGAAGTTTTTGGGTTTCGAGGTTGAAAGTCAATCTACTTTCCCTCCCAGAACTGAGCTAGCCAAGATTCCTAGCTAGGGGTCCAGTCCATTACTGGCATGGTGGGGACCGAGGAACGACATTTGAATGAATCTCTTAATGACCAGTAACACTGGTGCAAGCTGGCGGAAAAAGGGGAATTGCCCCGCTTCTCGATTCGCGTCGTCGAAAAAATACCACGAAGTGATTAATGTACTGGGCTGCGGCAGACGACGGCGTACATCTCGAGGAGGAGAGAAGCCACACACACTATCATTCTGAAAACGCACTCTTCCCAGGCCACCAATCGCCAAGGATCTGGTCGGAAAAGGTCATTCATCTCGACAGAACACTCATTAAACGCCACCTGATCAATGGTTGTCGACGGAATTCTCTACCCGCCCTGACACTGCATCACCAGGCCGTTGCAGGCTTCCCCAGCTTGAACTGTGAGTGGTGGAAGCAGGAATAGTTGAGCTGCAGGGGCCTTGACCCAGGAAAAAAAAAACCACTTGACCGCGGGGCATGTGAAAGAGGCGCTAGTACTGCAGTATACACATCCCACTTTGTGGCTTGTATGTGTGAAGTCATGATTTATTGGTGGCCAACCCTCACCGATATTTTCTGCATGTCGTTATCATCAATGGCTTTTTTCCCCTTGCTCGTAGCCAGACATTTCAAAGTCAAAGCAAGTCAGAGGTACTGGCACTATTTGACACCGGTCGGCACAACATAAATAGGTGATTTTACTCTCCTCAGGCTGCTATCTCCATAAATGTCATCTCTTTGAAAAGGGACAATACGGGCTGCTCAGGTTTATAATATAGCCACTTATTAGGTATAGTAACACAGAAAGTTTAGCTCTGGTTTGGCAGCATTCGAACCTATTCCAAGACATCTCACCACTCCCCAAATCGACCGGGCCCTTCTTCTGACTTTCCGTCGTAAAACAGCATTTAGAAAGATCACCGATCGGTGGTGATAACATTCACCTTCCATTCCGTCATATATCAGTCGAGGAACTGACCAGCGGACATGTCTGAGATGGAGTTGAGTTGAACGCAGTACTCGAGTCATTTCTGTGAGCCGGGTCATGGTAGGCGTATACATGAGCGTGGGGGGAGTTCCAACAACCTCTTGTTCCGTCAAGGCCCAGTCTCTGCAACTTTGTTACTAAGCTCGATGCTTGAGAAATGACAGGCTCGCTGTAGATAAGTAATCTATCAAACACAAACAGTGACCTCATCACTAACATTGGGTGTTTTTTCCTTCGAAGAGAGAACATTGTCGCCATAGTCTTATCATCCTTTGCGACTATTTCCGAGCAGGTAGTAATACACAATGATCAATCGATGCGTTTTCCAGAGGCTGAACTACGGAAATGTCTAGCTTAGCCGTCACAAATCAATGTGGTCGCGGCTAGAGATGGTGATATAGGGATCAAACATCATGGAAAAATAGCATGGAAAGTTTTGCTTATATCAAGTATATTACTACTGGTAAGCAAAGACTTGTGCTGTCAGTATTTGCAGCTGTATCCACAGCCTGCAAGAAGGCCAACAAATGTTCCCAATGCTGCGATTGTAGGAAGGGCCAAATGCTCGCAAAATTCCCTGCTTGTTCGATTAACTTTCCACCGATCGGTACACTCTATTATGTAGGTAGGTAGATAGGTAATAATAAATAAATAAGTCCAAAAACTCCATGCGCTAATGATTGAAGGGATTGTGTAGACTGTTGCCCAGTCTGGGGTTTAGAGGGTGTCCAGATCGGATGAGCAACATACAGCCCGAAGACGGTGATGACTGCGTTTCAGGAAGATGCTTTCTGTGAAGTTGCCGCCTTTTTTCTTCTTCTTAGATCAATGTCGGTGTTTTACAGTACGAAGATGAAGCCAACAGCAACGCTAGCAGCCAGGGAAAAGAGTCCGGCCATGTTGAGAGCCTCTAGGTTGGGAGCTGCGGCATTGCCGCTAGGGCTGGAAGAGCTCGAGCTGCTGCTGCTGCCGTCCAGGCCCGTGTAGATGGTGATGCCAGTGGATGTGCTGGTACTGGTGGCCGTTGCCGTGCCGGTTGAGGTCGCGTTGGTCTTTTGCGGGTTCTGAGCACCACATGGGTGGTCCTCGCGGCAGGAGCTGGCACAGCTGCTATCGGAACCGCAAGCCTTCACGCATTGGGTGCCCCATTCTGTGCAGGTGAAGTATGGAAGAGTCAGGGAGTATTCCGAGACATTGGGTTGCAAGTTGTTTCCACAAAGGCATCCGTATGTAAGTGTTTTCTATAGGTTCCTGTCAGTTGAGTCTTTATATGATGGCGGATTTCCAGATATATGGCCAGCGACGACGTACAGGATCACATGTGTTTGTAATAGTGGTCCCCGGCTCGACTTGTTCACAGATGATGGGGCAGGTCGTCAACTCCTGTTGGCACCATGCAGTCCTCGTGGACAGAGAGACACTATCGGGATCGATATAGTAGTCGGCACGGGCAGTGGCGGCCAGCAGGGTGACTGCTGCCAGGGCGGTAGACTTGAACGAGAGCATGGTCTAGAAATTCTTTTTTTTCCTGAGATGCAAATTCTGTCATCAAACTTAATCAGTAAAGTTCCTGAAAGAGGGGTGACATTTCTGACGTGAATAGCTTCTTGTCTTGTCAAAAGTTGACCCGGAAGCTAAACATGATGACTTACACGACGTATAAAAAATACTAATAAGCGTATGGGTATAAGTGAATGTACACTGAAGAAGACAAAAAGAAGTCTGCAGATACCAAACGACCACCAGCAAACGAATGATGGAACGAGAGAGAGAGAGAGAGAGTTGTACAATATAAAAGAGAGGACAAACAAGCAGGGACAGCAGATTGAGTGACACAAATATGGGGAATGAGGAAAAAGAAAGAGCAGATTACCTTAATAAAGGAGCTTCACGACGCCATCCCCAGCCTCGTTAGTGCCATTGGCTGCTTGTGTTACGGCAGGGGTTTTTGATCACTATCTAGGCTTGGGTAGCAGGTAAGCTATGGGACCCCCGGCTAACCCGCAAGCCACCGGACCAGTTGCAGCGAGCTGCACATTAGGTCTGAGAGGTCTGGGCAAGCGATTGGTGAGTGGCCAGCTGGATTGTCTCTAGCTCGATGCGAGGGTTCCAACGGGAACTCTGCACTACAGACAAGGATGCCGGACGATATGTGTGATGATGGGGCTCAAGTCTGCAGACAGATGCCTGCCTATCGGCTTGTTTCTTTTCCCATGGGATGGGCACATCTATCTCCACGGTAGTTTGTCTCTTCACGAATATGGAGCTGCCTATCGAAGGGTCGATGGTCATCACGAGATGCTGTGGCAAGAACCTAGGACAGGGTCCTGAAGAGGAAGTTTGGACCTAGGTCGGTAGTGTAGACTCAAATTTTAGAGAATTCTCCTATAGCAACTAGCACATAAGCCCGTTCATTACACAGGACGATGAATGAGCCATGGTTCTCAACAGTGCTCAAATTGGATCTACCACTAACCACCAGTAGTGCGGAGACCGTCCGTTCATTCAAGCAGTACTTGAGCCTCCAAATCTTGCTAATCATGTAAGGTTATGTACAATCTACCACTGAAATAAGACAGGGGAATGAGTGCTTTCGAAAGAGGCGTCGTGAGACTTTTTCTTCGACATGGAGCTGGCAGTCATCACGGCAAGCAAACAGCAGCAGTCAAAGCAGCAAGAAGCATGATGATTGCACAGCATGTGGTGTCATGCGGGACGGTAAGCGTGCGTACATGAGTTTAGTTGCCTAGTAGAAGAAGGGAGAAGCGGTGATTGGTGATCAATTACGAGGTTGCGTCCCCGTGTGAGGTTTCTCTGAATAAGGTAATATTGATAACTTGACCAAAGAAAAATACTTCTGGTCATGACTACTACCACTACTGGGTAAGTACATAGTTGGCAGACTCACAGCCAAATACGCGGTGGAGAGACGCCGGATGCTCGCTTCTTTTTTGCCCAAGGATCCATTGGATTGATTGATGGTCCAAGGGTTGTGGATACGACAAACAGACTCGTCAGTGAGAAGAAAGAGCCCAGACCAACAGCGCGCCCCCTCCAAGAGAGAAAGACGAACGAGAGGGAGAGGCGCGGGAGCAATACGAAGAAACCATTGCGAAAGTGTCTTGGAATTGGTTCTAAGCTCTTACAGACTCTTGTCCAATATTCATTATTCTTTTCTTGTTTTGTTGCTCTCTCGCCGCCTTGAGAAAGGATGGTCCTCGTATCCAAACAGCTCTAAGGCACGCAGTGCATCAGCCCAAGCTTGCCAGGGCAGCTAAAGGATGCACACTCTTTACTCGAGACCCACGGGGATGGCGCTTCCGTTTGGACTGGTCGCTGCGCTGCTGCGTACTGTAGTGTGTCAGTATGAGTGTGTACTCTGTAGATGTCGTCGGAGTGCATATGCGAGTCTCTTATCTGAGGGCGTGCTTGCATCTCTAGTCGCAGCGCGATGGGAGTTTACGAAGCGGGTGAGGGAGGGTCTCAGTCTGTGGTATGCCTGTCTTGGGGGGGTCTCCCAGCGCACCCAGCAGCATACATTTATTAGTATCAGACTAGGAAATATATTTGCAGTGCCACCATGAGCGGGAATACGCCCAACCTCCAGGTGGAATTGACCGGGAATGAATGACGTTGCCCATGTTTATCATCTCTGGCACATACGATGACAACGGTGTCTGCCGTCTCTCTCCTGCCTTTTCCTTCCTTGATCAGAGTTGCATCCGTTTGAGGTTGCGTCGTGGCCCTCGACGGTAGTAGAATCATTCATCAATATGCGACGACAAGAGTTGAGAGTGCTGCCAATTTAGAGTCCAGTTAACCTTAACAATAAGGACTTTTTAGAAGCTAATCGTGTGTCCATCGGCTCCAGTGGATTGCCAGCGCTATTTCGCCCAAATTCCCACCGTCCCCGCAGGCGATGGAGCTGAACGGTGAGGCGCGACTTGGAGATCAGTCCAGGTCCCCCTTGTAAGACCCTATGTCTGTGACCTGGTCCTTAGCTCGGGACGCTGTCGATTATTTTGGCCCCCAGTCTGCGTTGTACACAGTAATTATGTCTGGCCTCGCTACCATAGGCTTGTCCTGCCGTGTCCTGTCCTGTTTATTCTTCAACGCTCCATCGCAAAAATGCAATGATAACAAGCAAAATGGATTTCAATTGAGCTTAACGTCCATGACTGAAAAGTATACCGGTGCTCACCAGGTACCTTAGTGACCTGGATAATACTGTAAACTACCTTTAGTTAGGACCGACCCGACCTGGCTGTACTGGTCTTTGCCGCATTTGGATCTCATCATGAGACATGCTCGGCACCTTTTCTTCCCATATCCGTGCTGTTCTAGAAACCGGGACCCCCAAACATTCGGAAGCTACATTATCCATCCACACTTTGATCGGCTGAGTCTGAGGCCCACGAAGTAATCAGATCGGGGTCGCGAGACCCGACCCGTAAAGTTTGTAGCAGTAGAGTGATGCAAGATCATGCAACACGCGTTTGATCATGACCTGTTTGCCTTGCCTCAAACTCCCGAGGCTCCGGTTCCCGTTCTCGTAGGTGTGCGAAGTCATCGGATGTCTAAGCGGTACACGTTCCGACTTTGCATCGAAAACGCCGCGATAAACACGCATGCAAGGTAAGCAAGCACTTACACACACACACATGCTTTTACATATACATACCTAAACATCCACGTACGCGTACACATGCTTTCAGCTCCTCCTACGTGACCAATCTTGGCTGTACCGAAGGTTAAACAATGCAGAAGAAGCTCGCATAGGCCAAGAATCTAGATTCCATTCACATCGGGCGATTCGTCCAGTTCCACTCTGCTATTCTTGTTTAAATACTCGACCGACCCAAGCGACGTTAGATATCGTTAGCAAAAGAAATCATACTACAGAGTACACAGAATGGAATTGAAAATTGCACGATTTGCCCTCTACGAATTACTTGATCAACAGCCACCATCCCCAGAAATGCCAGGGTTCACTTCATTCTACTGCCGTGCACTTTGAAGTCTGTGCAGGCGACGATCGGTATTTGCGATTGCGTCTCTCAGAGTTGCAACCAACAGACAATAATTAAGAGGTGCGACGATCGTGGATGGAATATGCTGTTGCCAATTAACACATTAGCAACTGCTAAAAGCACTGCAACATCCTTATCTGGCTACGAGGTTGAAAGGATCACATGAACGTGGTTGTGATACAATAAGGCTCAAGTATCAGATTTGCAAGTCAAAATGGTACCTCAATGTATTCATTGGACAGCACATATTTCAAGACAACAAAAGCACACCAAATAATTCCATCTTGCCGCCAGGCCATAGAAAAATGTTTGTCAAGGGCCTTACACGAGCTCAGTACGTACAATAGAAGGACGATACAAAAGGACTAAGATCATGTCATGCCCTCGCTCCTTTCACAACTCAATACCCTGCTGCTTATCCATCAGGGCGCAAACGGGTCATTCTTGGTTGATCATCATCTCAAGGAAGCCTTATATCATTCTGTAGGGGTCAGTTTTGCTTGGAACATTCTTTCGAAATACTGAGAGTGGTCCTAGGGCGGTTCATTTCCCAGGGGTCTGACTCCGTCCTCGTAGGGCTGAGCTATTCCAATGCAGAATAGCACTGGACAGTATCAAAACTTGACCTGACCGATTCCGCCACACTGTAACATGCTCATATCACAATGAACCACAAGCACACTATTTGTGATATCATACAAATGGCTGTATCGACAGTCCGGAATCATCGATTCTACCATATCTGCCTTGTTGAAAGATGCCATAACCGAAGTGTGCAATAATGTGTTGTGAACATTCGAGATCTTAATCTGGCAGAACCAAGCGGCGATCGCCTTATTCCAAACACTTATATACCTTTCCTAGAGACTTGCCGATAATTATACCAGTACAGCCAAACTATAATTTCGTATGCCATGACTTATTATCTAAAAAGTACCCAAAAGAGGTGGCCGACTCCATACATCGAACCGAGTCACAGCAGGGTCATCGTTGAGCCATAGTCGTCTATGTGGTGACTTATTAGCTAGAATATTTACTTCAGAGCTTGCTCAACAACATGATTGGTAAACACGGCCAATGATTGAGGACCGAGCATCCTGAAATTACTGGCACGTTGCAGGTTTAGCGTATTGTATAGAGAAAGCATGATCTTGACGTCTAATTCATGCTGACACGTGCGGAATGTGTTCTCAACTTGCAACCGCCCAGGAGGACAAGACACTTATTGCGAAGCTGAATACACCGCGGTCCGGATGCAACTTATTTTGCATGTTTTGAATTGTTATATGCTTTCCCATCTCAGCCTGATCGTCGCGCCAAATGCAAAGACGCCACACTCATCTGCTGGTTCGATAATCTTGTTGGCCATGATTCAAGCCAGTGATATCCGAGAATGGCCTGATTTCGGAGATACCAGAGTGAAATTCATCCTTTGGATCCAATACTTTCGAAAAATAGTTTATACTACAATGATCAAGTCTGTTATGAACTAACGATTCATGTCACGCTCAGAGTTGGGAAAAATAACGAGATGATGCCGCCACCATGAAAGCCCCCTGAAAGCTTGTATATGGAGAACTTGAAGAGCGGCAATGACCATATTCAATGCACAATGACCGAGGCGATCATCCTCTATTGGAGCCTCTTCACATCATCTATTGGTCGGAGTCGGGTGCCAGAGGCAATGATTAGTCATCCGACGGTGGGCGCCATATCTGCACGGAAAACAAGGCAGTAAAGCCACTGTCTCCTGAATTCAGGTACATTGCACGACGTTCGCTCACTTTTCTGCAGGTCGCAGCTCTTGGTCTTCTCGATAACCCCAACCAATCCGTCACTTGTCTCAATTGTGTCAATATCTTGTGAGTCATCCCAGTGAACTGTGCATCCACATCGCCGCGAAAAGCAATGAGCTCATGCACTGCAGACAGGCTGAGGGGCAAGTAGTCATGTTTACGGATACACGCGGAGGTTGTGTTGTGCAGCAGACTGCAGGTGGCTGAACCACAACTGGAACAATCTTTTTCGGGGACTGGAGTTGGACAGCATCTATCTCTACATGGTGATACTGTATGGGCAATATGTAAAAGCAGGATCTACCAGGGATAAGAAAGTTGTTACAAAGTCTAATCCAGTTGGCGTTTTCCAGAAGAGATGGCCCCGCTGTTTCAAGATATTTCCCGTGCCCAGATTAAGCTCACCAAGCATGGATAAGGGGAAAGGGGGAAAACAGGATCTCTGGGGCAGGACGTGTGACCGTCATGTCACATACCAGCCATTTTGTGTTTCCCCGGAGGCAAAGGCCAAAGCATGCAATTATACATACCCATATCCTGGCTCTAGGTTATGTCTGTCCGCCACCTTGATGCTGTGCATATTGCTTGCTATGGACGAGACGACAGAGTTGCAAGATGCCGAAATTCTCGCCAATCTGAGTTCGCACCAACCGAAGCATCCCGTTTTCTCAGGAGGCACAAAGCGGCGGCACAATATAATTGCTTTGTCTAGAGTTGCAGATGCAGAAGATGCTTTCATATAAGCGCCGGCCCATCCCAGGCGATGCGGTGACGCATTTTCTTTCCTTTCCCTCCTTTCCCCCGTCCTAGCCAAGATTTTCTTTGCTTGATGATCGAATGGCGGGCAGCAGGCCTGTTCCAGCTGAAGCGACATGAGGGACTACGCCGATATTGAACAATGGCTGCGCGGAGGCGATGGAGAGGAGACACCGGGCGACACCACGGCCGGCAGTGGTAGCACCGATGATCTGGAAAAGGTGCAATACTGGCATGAGGTGCGACTTCTAGAACTCGAGGCGAGAAAGAAGAAGACCATTTGCCAGCGGATTAGCAACTTCATCTGTCCCCCAAGGATCGATCATTCCACAGCCCTGGACATGCAGTATAACCATGAGTGCCTCACCCTCACGGTCGAGAGCACTCCTGACCCTTTTGTCGTTCGTGCCCATCGGCAGTATTACATGGTATTGTGCCCTCGCCGCTTTTAAAGTGCCCCTTGGACTCGGATGCTGTGCAACGGAAACTGATACTCACTCCAGACTTTTACCAAGGGTAACAGGATCGAGATATGGACTTCAAAATATTTGGCATCCTTCGAGGAGAGCGCCAGAAAAGCGGTTATATGGTAAGTTATTACTCGAAACGAAATTTCGTTGCATTTCTTCCCCAGGTGACAAAAATTAACGTCACGCAGGAGACCGCCACCTTGTACAGAGCATTCAGCAGATCTGTGGGCACCTGAACTTCATGCCATTCGGGGAAGATGGTATATCTACTATGCCGCAGCCAATCCAGCTCGCGGCAGCGGAAGTCACCGGATGTACGTGCTCGGAGGGCCCCCAGCGAATGAGGATCCGACCCTAGGACAATGGGAGTTTCTAGGGCGCATTCTCGGCATGCCAGATCAGTGGGCGACCGATGGGACGGTCTTTGAGCTGGATAACACGCTCTATTTTGTCTATTCTGGCTGGCCGCTCGACGACCATGGTCATTCAGATCTTACCCAGCAGCTGTTCATTCTGAAACTCGACGACCCGACGATCGCTGCTTCACATCCCGTGATGATTTCGGCGCCGGAACACACGTGGGAGTTCACTTCTGACGATAATGGTGCACATGGTATCAATGAAGGACCGCAGTTCCTGGAGTCCCCGGATGGCAAGTGGAAGGGTATAGTCTACTCCGCTGCTGGCAGCTGGACACACCAGTACAAGCTCGCGGTTCTACATTACAACGGCGGCGATCCCTTGAACCCACGCTCGTGGCCCAAAAGCCAGCAGCCTCTATTACAAGCTTCGGGCCACAGCAAAGGTCCGTGGGGCCCTGGCCATGGCAACTTCCTCAGCGTCGGCGATGAGACCATCTGCGTGTTCCATGGCACAGACAGCCAACACGACGGATGGGAGAATAGAAAGGCAAGATGCCAACGTGTAGTCTTCAGCAAGCACGGCCCATATATGGGCAACTATTGTGGACGGGACTCGACTGCGAAGCAAGTCAAAGGAAGCTTGGTGAGCCAACTTCGACGACGTTTCAGCAAGCCTCAGCTGGAGCTGAATCCAGAGGCTTCAAAGAGCTCCCTAAAATTGCTGCTAGAGAATTACTAATGAAGTCAGGGAAAGTGGCCACGTGATGTTCTGTATTCTAATGTTTGACTCAAAAAGGAGAAGAATGGTTCATTGGGTATTCATCTAAAGGCGTTTGCATGAGCATTATATAAGTATTAGGCAGGGTATAATAGCACCCGATTTTCAAGGGCATAATACAAACAACGGTTTTCTCGAGTCTGCGATGAGTGCCCTCTGCGTAACCAGATTGCAGCATGCACTGGACATTCAGCGCAAATGTTCATTCCTCAGTCGCCGTGACATCTTGGTGCCATCGATATGCTCACAAACGACCGATGATGCCAAGCTCAATATGGCAATCAGCCTTCGGTGCTTGACTAGTATGATTTGACTTTTGCCAAAGCAGGGGAATACCCTTGCGATCCGGTATGCGTTGCCTGACGAGACTGCTCGTGTAGAGTCGTCGTGCAGTCTGACACAACACCGCTTTCAGGCCGAGGCGTAGATATCTGGTCTCCCCAGAATCGAACGGTTCTTCATTTGGCTGACAAACTCCTCGACCTCGATCTTGACAATGTGCTCGCCGGGCACCACTACCAAGCCCAAGTACCGCGAGGTCATCTCAGCCCGGAGTGTATCCGATTCCAGACTCGCAGCAGCGGCCTCGAGAAGTTTTTGCTGCGAGGGTTGCCGGTACTCATGGGTGAGCGAGAGCACAAGATTGCTTTGCTGTCAAGTTTGGTTAGCTGGATAATACAATATAAATGATCTAGACTGTAGTTGACAAACCGGATCGGTGCACTTGAAGGTGCCCACAAATAGACGGGCGTCTGTGGTGTAGACTCTCAGGGTCTTGTTGATGAGGGACTGCAAATAAGACTCGGCTTCGGCCTTGTTCAAATTAGCAGCCGGTGCTTCGGGCTGCTCTGCTGATGAAGCTGATGCGTCCATTTTGATACCCTTTACAACGCCTTGTTTCGGTCAATGCCAGAATGTCAACCCGCGATAATTTTCATAATCGTCGGAGACTCCAAGCCTGGTTACTTATTTAGATCGATGGGGATTTTGATGCTACAAGCGAGGTGCCCGATTTGACTCGTGTCTGCCACTGTCCGGTCACTGGGTTTGGCGTTGTAGTGGGGTTCTAGCGGGGCTCTCTAGCAGTGTTCCTCTGGAAGGGGGACCCCAGATAGCGCGCGATCGACGCGCTAAAGATCAACGTCATCATCATTGGATCCCGAGCTGATGGAAGAAACATTCCGTAGGCAGAAGCGCATACCTTTTTCATATCTGACCAATTTCTCAATACAAATCTTTCCTTTCCTTTCCTGCCATCATTGTTTCCATTGTATGATAGAATGGTCCTGTCTTCATTTGATGAACCATGACAGCTTCTATTCCATATCCTTGAGCATCTACAAGTCGCTGATCTGCCTCATGAAGCCATCATAGACGTCATCCGATAGACCTCGGACAAGATGGGTGTGAACGGCCTCTGGACCGTGATTCAACCCTGCGCGCGACCGACCAACCTCGCGACCCTGAACCGCAAGCGCCTCGCTGTCGATGCCTCGATCTGGATTTACCAGTTCCTCAAAGCGGTGCGCGACAAGGAGGGCAATGCGCTGCGCAACTCCCATGTCGTCGGCTTCTTCCGCCGCATATGCAAGCTGCTGTGGTTCGGCATCCGACCCGTCTTTGTCTTTGACGGCGGCGCACCTGCCCTCAAGCGCCAGACCATTACCTCGCGCAAGCAGAGGAGGGAGGGCAGGAGGGAAGATGCCGTGCGCACAGCGGGCAAGCTGCTCGCCGTGCAGATGCAGCGCATCGCCGAGGAGGAGGGCGATAAGCGTAAAAGGCAACGCGAGCTTGAGAAGCAGGGCGGCGAGAGACCCGAGGTCGTCGAGCCCACCGAGGAGATTCCAGATGCCGACAAGCTCGTCTACGTAGACGAGCTCGGGATGAGCCAGCAGGAGCGTCAGAAAAACAGAAAGTTCTTCAAACAGGATGCTTACCACTTACCGGACATGCACACGAGCATTGAAGGCATGGGAAAGCCCGACGACCCACGTATAATGAGCATTGCCGAGCTTGAGGAATATGCTAGACAGTTCAACAGCGGCGAGGACATTAACCTGTACGACTTTAGCAAGATCGACTTTGATGGCGAGTTTTTCAAGAGTCTACCTCCCGCTGATCGGTACAATATTTTGAATGCGGCACGAGTACGCAGCAGACTTCGAATGGGTCTCAGCAAGGAGCAACTGGAAGAGATGTTTCCAAACCGAATGGATTTCTCAAGATTCCAGATTGAGAGAGTTCAGGAGAGAAATCGCCTAACGCAACGCTTGATGAAGGAAGCTGGAATGACAGGCCTGGACCTCACAATCAATGGAGCCGCTCGTATTGCTGGTGAAAAGGACCGTGAATATATCCTAGTCAAGAACGACGGTGTCGAGGGAGGATGGGCATTGGGCGTCGTGAGCAAGGAGAAGGATGTAGGACAGATGCACAAACCCATTGATGTCGATGCCCTAGAATTCCAGTATCAGAAAAAGGAGGACGAAGACGAGTGGGAAGACGAGGATGATTTTGAGGATGTGCCTATTGAGGGCGTGAACCGACTGCCTAAAATACCATCTCACGTACGCGAGGCTGCCGAAAGGCGACAACAACTATATGATTCAAGGCGAGAAGAGAATGGTCTCGAGGTCCCGCTAGAGGATGAGGATGAAGATTCTCTATTTGTTCAAGACCCCTCCAAATCGATCGATAGTCTTTTCGAGGCTGACGAAGAAGAGGACCTTGATCGCGCCATTGCAATGTCCATGAAGAGTCAACATCATGTCGAGTCTTCTCAGGAAGAGGGCGAAGATGAGGAATTCGAAGATGTGCCGGCACCGGTCTGGAAACAGAAAGCTGTGGATCAGGCCAAGCCTGTGACTGCTGCAAGTGGAAGTATGATTGCACACATTGTCAACAACCGGGCGAATGCCTCAATTAGAAAGCGGCGACGAAGTGAAAGCGTCGAAAGCGATGACGAGATGGATTTGAGCGTGGCACTTTCCAAGGCGAAGAAGAAGAAGACGATGCGCCCGACGAAGCCAGTGGCTGCGCCAATGTTTCTCAGTAAACCGAATCCATTTGGTGGCCCATTGCCATTCGAAAAGCTGGTGTGGAAGTCTAGTATATTCGCGAAGAAACCAGAGCCGGGGAAGTCGAACACTGATGGCACAGCGCCTCGTGAAACATTGGATGATGAACTAGCTGGCGGTTTCGTCGCCGATGATGATATGGCTGGAGGATTTGAAAGAGATGAAGAACATGAAGAAATGGACAATGAAGCGCCTCGTCCCCTGCCACCTTGGATGGAGCAGGAGGATACTGATATTCGTGAATCTATGAAGACACAGAGAGCGCGAGAAAAGGAGATCAACGAAGAAGATCGCGAGGCAGCTCTGGAAGCAGAGAAACGACGACAAAAGGAAGCAATCATTGAAATTGAGTCCGATGAGGACGATAGCGACGTCGAGGTTCTCGATGCTCCACCTCCGCAGCCACCAACAGCACAAGAGAAGCCAAGGTTGTCGCCAGCCACCTTGACGCGCGTTGATCCACCGGTGCCAGACCCTAAGGCTCTAAAGGACGGCGAATTGTTACCTGTCAATGAATCTGATAGTAAAGCTGTTCATGATGTCGAAAAAGCGTCTCCGCCAAGGAGTCAAAGGAAAACTCCATCGCGTCAAGCATCCTCGTCTCCAGAACCTGATTTTGAATTTGAGGAAGTCGATATCCTGGGTCCTCAAGACACAGCAACAGAAGCCAGTAATGAACAAGTCGAAAGTCCAGAGCCAGAATTCGAGGAAGTTGATGTTGCAGTTCCGGCCGAGGATCCGATTGCAACGGAAAAGGTTGCCACGGAGCCAACCACTCATGATGTGACTTCAACTACGGAAATCGCTGGTACCTCTGCCAAGGTTGTTGTTGACGAGAATGGCGACATGTTTATTGAAGACAATGAAGTTGAGGAAGAGGAGTATAGTGACCCAGAAGACAAAGAGCTCCTTGCCCAGCTCGCAGAGGAAGCAGAAGAGCATGCGCGTTTTGCGAGCCAGCTCAACAACAAATCTGAAAAGGAAAACATTGAAGCCTATGAGCGAGAGCTGAAAGCGCTACGAACACAGCAGAAGAAGGACCGGCGAGATGCAGATGAAGTCACGCAAGTCATGATTACCGAATGCCAAGCGCTACTGCGCTTCTTTGGCATTCCTTACATCACAGCACCAATGGAAGCCGAAGCGCAGTGTGCTGAGCTGGTGCGACTCGGGCTGGTCGATGGAATCGTGACTGACGATTCCGATATCTTCCTTTTCGGCGGAACGCGAGTTTACAAGAACATGTTCAACAGCAACAAGTTCGTCGAATGCTATCTGGGGAATGATCTCGAGAAGGAGCTATCTTTATCGCGAGAACAACTTATTGCTCTGGCGCAGCTGCTCGGCTCTGATTATACGGAGGGACTTCCGGGAGTTGGTCCTGTGACGGCAGTGGAGATTCTATCCGAGTTCCCTGGTATCCAAGGCCTCGAGGCTTTTCGTGACTGGTGGAAAGAGGTGCAGCTTGAGAGTCGTCCTAAGGAAGCCGACGCTGGCTCTCCGTTCCGTAAGAAGTTTCGAAAGTCTCAAGCCACGAAGCTTTTTCTGCCATTGGGCTTCCCCAACCCGGCCGTTTTTGAGGCCTACATCAAACCCGAAGTTGATAGCAATCCCGAGCAATTTCAATGGGGTGTGCCCGACGTTGAAGGGCTACGCCGATTTCTCATGTCGACCATTGGCTGGAGCCCGGAACGTACCGATGAGGTTCTCGTCCCCGTGATACGGGACATGAATCGACGGGACGCCGAGGGCACACAGAGCAATATCACCAGATTTTTCGAAGGCAGCGTCGGTGTTGGTGCCAAAGAGGCTTTTGCACCAAGACAGAGAACTCAGACGAGTAAGCGCATGGTGAATGCAGTAAACAAGTTGCGCGCCAATGTTTCCGTGGATGGACAAAGCCTTGAAGCGCCTGTAGAGGTAGGCCAGGGCACTCCTGCTAGTGGCCGTAAACGAAAACAGCGAAACAATGCCGCCACAGCAGAGGATGATGGTGGTGAGGATGGGACGGCGGTTGAAAATGATGATATTGATGACGATTACGAAGATGGTACTGGCACAGGCCCGGCGAAATCAAAGAGGACTGGGAGAAGTCGAAAGACCAAGACATAGATCTAAATTCTCTCCATAGCTATCATATATTTGCGTATGTTGGCTATGAGCAATTCAAGTTGAACCGTGGTACTCATTCTCTTTTGCTGCAAGTGTACAACGTGTGCAAATTATTACATTGAATTTTTGATAAATGACACCATGAGCATCGCTCCCCATTGTATTAATTCGTGGCAATCAAAAATCATTGATCTTGTCAACTTTATGTCTAATTTAGTCTATATCATCTCTCAGACAGCAGTCTTCGGTCGCCCGTTCTCCGACTCTTGCTCCCTCGAAATATTATCCGCCCACGCTCTCGTGGGCGTACGCTGTCCATCCGCGGACGCCGGACGAACTGGTGGTCCAGTCAACGGGCGCAGCTCGGCACGAGGCGGCACGGCGAGCATCTCGTTCAAGGCTACCATGGACTCGTTGGCCAGCCAAGTCGTGGCGCTCAGGCGGTCCTCGGACAGTTCCGCGCTCGGCATCCGGTGATAGCTTGTCTCGATGAGCGTTGATATCGTCACGGATAGTCTGTTTTTGGCAAGACAGGTTTGGTTAGTAAACTTCTGTGACTATTGATCTTTCAGGGGAGAAGGGGGATTCGAAAGATGTACTGAATTTTCGCACTGCGACACAATACTTGTCTTGTGAAAATCCCAAATTACTGACCTTCTTGTTTTCCGCCTGCTCAGCCTCAAGCTGGCGGCCCGGCTCAGCTTACTGAGCTTGCTGTGGTGACTGTGGTCGCCCGACTTGTGTGCCGAGTCAACAAGAGCGCCATGGCGATGGGTGAAAAAGTGTCGGCATGCAGGTATAGAGGCGCAGGCCTGGGCTCTCATGTTAGGACCTCGGTCGCAGCAAAGTCTGGATAGAAGAAGATCAACTCACGATGCCGAGGTACAACTCAATAACGCTACTAATCCAGACGGTCCATCCATACCACTGGCATATATTAGCATGGGGCAAAGTAGAGATCTATTATACTCGAGTCGTGGCTTACGGTCTTGTCATATTTTGTTGTCAAAATCCAAGTATAGTAGGTTCTTACGCAGCCAGCCGCGCAGGCACAAAATCCAGTACAGAAAAGAGCATAGAGGATAATGTGCTGCCTCCGCGGCAGCTGTAGTGCGGCCGTCATCTTGATCGGGAGGACGACTATGGCAAAGTCGGTAACCGTGTTGATGGTACCAGCCACGAGCAAATGCGCGGCCTCGTCGATACACTTTTGCGGTTGAGATGACAGAGTCCAGTAATCCGAAACCGGACTGTATAGGCCGTCTGTTAGTGTACCTAACAAATACGAAATAGTGGAAGTTTTGCCTTACCTGCACTGGAAGATGGTGATAAACATGAATAAAAGCCCGCTAACCACCACAAAGACGGCTATTGATACAACAATGACCGTCAGTCGTGATTCTGTGGTGTGGACGAGCCGGTAGAGCATTGCCAGGGTCGACAGCTTCACGAGGTTTGAGGAGATATCGAAAAGAACAAAAGTGACAAGGCTGCCGGAAGATCGCTGGTTAGAGGATACTGAGTATTGAGGTGAAGTCGGGCAATATAGATACCTCATTTGTGAGCTGGGGGAGTATTTTGTAAATGGGAGATCCCATACATGTACGTCCCAACCCAGTTCAAACTCGGAATAGATGCTACAAACGGTCAGGGCGACGGAGGGGAACTGTTTCGGTCAGGTTTGAGCGTTCAGTCACCCTTGGGGAGGATTTTGGGAACCTTACAAACGCGATAAGGATAAGTATATCATCGAGTCCAAAGCTTCTAACAACACGCAGTCGAGTATATACACGCATAACCAAGATCAGGGCTACCAAGACCGTCAACGTGATGGCGACAATCTTGCCGGCGGGTCCTCGCGTAATAGGGTGATCATAGTTTGGCGTCGGCCAAGAAGCCAACACGGATGCGGGTGGGAGCCTCATAGTCGTCGGCGTTGGTGTCGCTGGGCATTGTCTATGATGAAGATGTTGCGGAGCATCCTTGACTAGTTGTATGCCCAGAGAAAAGTACAGCAGATCATATACAGCTGCTCGTTCACTCAAAAACAACAGCCATATCGAGAAACGCATCGCACGGTCGTTGTCGTCCGGTGCGTCTCTATTTTTATGAGCTGATCTTGATCATCCTAGTCAACGGCTCCTGCTGAAACCAAGCGGCAAGGCTTCGCCAGCATGTCTGACCTCGAGTCCATCTGGAGCCGGGGTGGCGAGCCCGAGGTAAGCCAATGAAGCCATGGTTCCGAACGATTGGCGCCTGGAGATTGTCTAGTGCACAGATATTGTGAGACACAATTCTGTAGCTGTATCATGCTAGGGCTGGTAAGGAAAACCATGTTTGCCCTGATATGTCATGTGGAGCTGATGGGTTGCTAATAGTGAGACCCATGCACCTGCGGGCAGGAAACTTTCTTTTTCTCTTCCTTTTACATGCCGAATACAAAGCCACTGTCCATATCATGTATCTGAAACTTCGCAAATCTACGGGTTCCTGCATGATCAATTCTCCACGATGAGCTGGATATTAATGACAATCTGCTCCTTTTTGGTCATGCCAAGTAGACGAGTTGGGACCAGCTTCCATGTATGAACCGCCAGCTTGGGTCTCTGTGGGTTTGCTCCCTCTGTGCTGAAAGGGCAAATCAAGGCGAGGTTGCGTGGATGATGCAAACCCAAAGAAATCATGACGACTTTAGTGACAGCTCATTTTATGCTCGTTTGACATTTTATTCCCGGTATCGAATCGAGCGCATATCGGATCATACCCACCGGAAGCACAAGCATATCGTTGCCGGAATTCAGAGAGAGAAAAAAGAGAAGAAAAGAGAGAAAGAGAAAGAAATTCGTAAAACAAAATTATTCCATTGAGGCTATTCCACTAGATACTGCCCTGCTTCGCATCGTCAGATCTTCACCATTTTATCCTACACTTCTCACACTGGCAAAACATGTCAAGCCCGACGTCCATTCGATAGCCTCCCAGCTGTAAGATAATGACTAGTAATATTTATCAACCCTGTAAAATCATTCACCAATTCCTCGTTCCAAGTCTTCTTGAAGTTGGCCCCTTGGATTTTCTTGAGCGTGTCCAACTCTCCCTACTATGCAGCTTAGAGCATCACCATCATGTCGTCTTTGATGCTCTCGTGAATCAGAGGTCCATGCAGTAGCGTCCAAATTACATCCTGTTCATGATTTCTTGTTGAATTGCAACCGGTGCCAGGTCACTATTAGTTGGCAAGTATTGAAAAAATCGTCTTACATCGACTTTAAACGGGATTGAGGGTCTCTAAGAGTCAATGGTTCGATTTGCGAAAGCTCCGGCAAGGTGAACTTGAGCGGCTTCCTTGATCAAGAGGAGAAGCTCGGGCGCTATGTGAAGTGTGTGTGTGTGTACTCTTGTTATCTCTTTACTGGAAGATTGATGCTCATAGTCTTGTTTCTTTGCTAGTGTTCTGAGTAGTAGGCCTGCCAGCAGCCACATGGAGTGTGGTGCAAGTGACTGATGCGTATAACTTTTCGGGGAAGACACGCTGGCATGTTTCTTGGGCTGTGGACATGATGTCGGATTGGAATTGTAGGCGTGGGAAGTTTCAAATACAAAAAAAATGAGTGGCTTGAAAAGAAGTGACGGGAATTGGTGGGTATCTGTGGTTTATTGAAGATAGGAAAAGAGAAGAGAACAATTGGGAGGAAGAGAGGGGGGAAGAGGGGTATATATAGGGAGGAGGAAAAGAAACAAAAAAGGAGGGAAAGAGAGAAAAAAGAGAAGAAGAGAAAGGGGGGGGGGGGAAGGGGGGAGGGA